AACCGATAAGCAGATATGGAAAGTTGTTTTGAAAAGAGCGTTCAAAAACCTTTCGAGTGATATCACCTCATAAGGAAACTCCAGTGCGTATCATATGCCTTCCCTGTTCAGAAAAAACTTTTCAACTCTGTTAGGACGAAAATGACACTAAGAAATGATTACAGATGATAACGCTACACTGACTTTGAGTCCAAAGTTTTCTATCTATAGTGATTTGTCGGATTTATGATAATCGGTTACCACTACATGTGGGAAGCTTAAGTGCTTTTCGCACTGGGACTACATTCTATACACAATACGGGGTATGCGCGATGTGAAACGAACTTCTACTTCCCATATCTCACCGCGCTCACCACAGATGCTTAGTAAGCTCTAGGTCATAGCATGCATTCACTAATTAATATCAAGCGACTCGTGTAGTTATAAGTGCAGCGGAGATTAGTGAAGTCAAAATCACTTCTGAGCCGTATTCTGTTTAGAGCCTTTACCCTCTTTCTGATATTGCAACTTGCAAATTATTAGGTTGGAAAGTAAGTTTTGCAACTCATTCAATGACTTTCTCTCACTCAACATGGCGCACTCAAATTTTGCCATTGTGTAGGTTATTACGTTAGCTACAAGCGCAGCTGCTGTACTACCAAATTCTGATGTCGCAGTGAAGGTTACGGCGAGTGATGGTATGAAGGGAAAATTATAAAATTGAACAGATTTGGTTGAAACTTGGCATAGGGAGGTTAAAAGACATGCTGATTATGAAAGCGTTATGAAGTTGCGTGATAAGTGCTTTTTTGTAGGAATACTGTAAGTGTACGATATAGGGTCTCATCCGAAACAAGGAATGAGGCGTTGACTCAACAAATAAAAATGACATTCGTATTTAGCAGGTCAAAGAACCTCAGTATGTAAAGGCGCGGGAAATTTCGTGGTTTTGACTCCTCAGTCATTGACCATTGTCCCCAGCAGTCTTGCGTACAGCAATTCTTTCGAAATTGTGAGGGCGCCAAATCTTGACTTGTCCCTAAATTTCATTTCTTTTCTAATGAGCCGAATAAGTCAACCTCTAGCAACAATTAGTACACAAATCCGGATTACTGCGCATTGCTTGCACTATTAACAACTTCATTTTGCCTTAAAACCCCAAAAATTCTCAAAATTCAATAGTTTTTGAAAAATACGTGGAATTTTTCTAATTCGTTTTCAAAATTTAAACAGTTTTGGTCGATTGTAGCTCACACTACGCTCTACATACTATCCAAGTTTAAGTGCGCCACATCCAAAGAGAGTTGAGTTATGAAAGTAGTTGCAAAACTTAGTTTCCAGCCTAATACAACCCAGGAGGCAAAAATCTGACGCAGGTGCATCCATTCTTGAAGAAAGTTGCGCTGGATTTTTGCATTGCTGTGTAAGCATGGCTTTGAATTGGGTGCACATTTCGCACATATGCGCTACGATCGTAACTCTACCTTTGTATTGTGCGATTCTGTTGGCTGTTTCATCAAGACAAAAACTAATGCAGTTTGACGCACTCATTTTATCACAGGTAAGCACTTAATTTTGTTTTCACTCACTGTAGCCTTTGAATAACATCTTTGTTTCTCAAAAAGGCTATTTGGAAACTCGTGCAACCTTTCTTATGGTTGCGAAAGCTCAATAAAGCATTTGTGACTTACTTACTTAATACTTAGATGGCCCGTCCTCACCTGACGTGCGGGCACCAGTACAGAAACTTCCATTGGTCCCTGTCCCTCACTTCGGACATCCACGATCTTCTTGGTCGTCTTCGGTGGCTGCGTCCACGAGTTTCAGGGGCGAAAATCTTATCCAGTTCATCAGCTGGTCCATCCGTTCCACGAACACGTCTGCCCATCTCGTTGGTGGTCTTCCTCGGGGACGTTTGGCTTCGCGAGGAATCCAGTCAGATGTTCTTAGTGTCCATCTGTCGTCTGTTGTTCTCATGATGTGACCGGCCCATCGGTGTTTCGCTTTCGCAACGTATTCTGCTGGGTCACAAAGACGGGACATTCTCCTCATTTCCGTACTGCGAAGTTCGACTAGATGTTGCTTGTGTCGGGTCATCTTCAGAAGACTGCGCTCGAGCGCTCTGTGGGTGGTCCGTAAAGCTTTCGACGTGGCTACGATGTCGGCCCAAGTCTCAGCTGCGTAACAGTGTGCTGGGAGAAGGGTTGAGTCGAACAGGTGGGCACGAAGCTCCGGGTCCGTCAGTTAGTCAGTGGCTTCCTTCAGAGACCCGAAGGCGGCTCAGGCTGCTCTTCTTCTCCTGTTAAGTTCTTCCTTCAAGTCATTCTCCATGTTCATCGAACGTCCGAGATACACGTAAGAAGACGTCTCCATAATAGGGGTGCCTTCCAATTCCATTTCTGCATCTTCGCAAAGGGCGTTCTTCATGAACTGAGTCTTCTTCCGACTTATTCGCAGTCCTATCTTCTTCCTTACTTCGTTTAGTTCCTTCAGCATCGTCTCTGCTTCAGTGATACTGCTCGAAAAGACGATGTCGTCCGCAAAACGAGTTCGACAGGAATCTCCCATCAACTCGTATGCCTCTCTCGTCCCAGTCCAGTAACTTCATCACCCACTGCAAGGCCGCGGTGAACATCTTCGGCGAGATTGTCGGACCTCCTTCCCAATTGGGATGGTCATGGCGATGGAATAGCTGCATCGTCATTGTACAGTCCTTATAGCAGTCGGCTAACGTGCTCACATGAGCTGAATCCACTCCTTGATCGACTAGCGCAGACAGGATGGTGTTGGTTTTGACGCTTGCAAAGGTTTTTTCGTCGACAAAGGTTAGGACGAGAGGCAGTCGGTAATCCCGGCAGACTTCTATGACCCTCGAAACGGTCTGGATGTTGTCCATGCAAGTGAATCCTTTGCGAAATCCAGCTTGTTCTTGGGGTTGGGCTTCATCCAGTGTCCTGGATATGCGAGCGAGGATAATCTTCGTGAAGAGTTTGTACAGCACACTCAGCAGGCATACTGGACGGTAGTTTCGAAGATCCTCCCGTTCACCCTTCTTGAAGTTCTTAACGTTCTCCACTGGTCGAGAATCCTCTTCTTCTGAAGTTAAGATGTCAGGTGGACGCGAGAATCTCGTGTAGATGTTGTCCTCCGGCTTGCAGAAATTCGACGGAAAGATGGTCTGGTCCTGGAGCCGTGGATGCCTTCATAGTGAATTGCCATGCGCACTTCAGCAGGAAGAATTCGTGGTGGTATCTCCAATGGAAACAAAGGGCATCTGCGCGAGTGTTGATGAGCGGAAGGGGTTGGTATAAAAGTTCTTCGCGATAGATTCCATCTTATCGGGAAGAAGTCGGAGTCCCGTCTTCGTTCAATAGTGCAGCCAGCGATAGTGATGTTCACAGAGTTCCCTTCGGCACTTCTTGAGTCTTTGCCTTCCTTTGGCTTCTTCCAGTATCTTGGCTTGCCTGTACTTCCTGAGATCTTCTTGCAAAGCTGTTCTGCAATTGGCGTTGGCTATCAGTCGCTCGAAATGGGTTGCATTCGGATCCTGCCTCAGAAGTCTTCTTCATACAAGGAATTCCTCGGTGGTCTTCAAAATGCGTCCCAAGTTCTTCTCAGAAGTCACTGAGGCGCACTCTCCGCAGGCTCGCAATCCTTTCAGAAGCCGGTCGTAGTCGTACGTTGGGTCCTCCTCGATGGGCCAGTCACAACTTGATATGAGCTCCTCCAGCCTGTTACCGTCATAAACGACATTCTTCCTTCTTGCGGCACTGTGACAGACTTTCTTTTCCAGCCTTCGGCTCAGTCGTATCTGCGCTCGAAGGAGGCGGTGATCGGTGCCGCTACAGAAGGATGGAACTACTGAGACATCGAGCAAGCTCCACCTTCGATTGGTGAGAATGTGATCGATCTCCGCGTGAGTCGTTACGTTGGGCGATTCTCATGTTCACCGGTGATGTTTTTTCTTCATGAAGATGGAATCACCATGGAAAAGTCGTGCGACGGAGAGAAGCTCAACAAGACGATTGCCGTTTTCGTTCCGGAGCCCATATCCAAACTTCCCGATCCTATATTCCTCTTCCAGTGGCAACCCGATTTTCGCATTAAAGTCGCCCTCAACATACTTGTAGAAGAACTTTTCGTTGCGGACGATCTGCTCCACGTCTTTGTAAAAAGCATCTAGTTCTGAGTCGTCAGCTGCTAATGTTGGAGAGCTGCAGGATAATGCTGATGGTCTTCTGACGTGGAGGGCGTAGTCGTAGGATGGCCAGTCGAGGTGATAGGATCTCGTGTGATTCGACAAGATGGACGATAGATGGGTGGACGACAAAGGGAACGCCTCCCACGTTTCGTGATGGAACCTTCTCACCGTCCCATCACTCATCTGTCGCACGTCCTTCTTCCTGGACTTCGTTTCCTGCAGAGAGATGATGTGGTACTTGATGTGCTCTGCAGCGTCAAGAAGAGCGTGGAGGTCGACGTTTGTGGGAACTTTCCTGGCGTTGTAAGTGCAGAGCGTGAGGCAGTCTTCATGGCGTGTCGCGCGGGCAGACGTGTCGTTTTTGTCCGATCCGAAAGGCGCCGTCAGTACCCTGACATCGTTCTTGCCAGCACTCTGCGCTAGGTGGGATCCGATGTGCAGGGTTTCTTTTTATTCTTCTAACTGCTAGAGTAATTAGATTTGTTCCCCTCAAGAGCAGGCTTACTAGGCCTACTTTTTAATTCCACGGGCGATCGCTGACCTCGGGCTTGGAGCGGGGAGAACCGCCTAGCGACCTGAAAACTAGACGGAGGTGGATCTGGCCTGGCCGGCTCTTAGCTAGGCATCCGGCCGAAACCGGAAACGTCGAACTCCTCCACAGCTTGGGAACCCTGCCAGAGTATACACTCGGCTGTGCATTGCAGTTCGACACCCAGTGTCACCTCCACGCCACGATGAGGCGGCCGACCATTGTAAGGAAAGCATTTGTGACACACTGAATATAACAAATTCAACAGCTATCAGCTCCGCTAGACACTAAATGGCGCTTAATGATACACGTGCAAATAATTGTGGCGCACCCTGTACATTTACTACTTCCACTTACAGAGCAGGAGCTTATCGCTGCAAGAAAGTAGATTGTATGTTTACACTCTGATATCAAATTGGTTATCAAAGACACATTACAGGGAGCTGCTGACATACTTTCACTTCTCACATGCAACTGTTTTGCATGTTTACGTGCTGCCGGAATAGCCAACAGCTTTTTCTGGAAATATCGCCACGTACTAGCCAATGCCATTATTGCAATCAATTTCTATAGCATCAGTGTTCGTTGTTTTGGAATCACACTGATTTCAGTACATAGATATGTAAGCATTTGCACAGAAAGGACACTGATTCATGATGTGAGTAAGCATATCACTGTCTGTGATTCATCTGAAACTATTTATTCAGTTCTATCGCTTTCTGATATGTGAAACTACTTATTGCAGTTGATGGAAAAGATACCGCTGACTGTTTTGGCAGTCGTGCAGTGGATTGCCGCCCTCATAGCCGTGACTCCTTCAATGACTTTACTTAATGCAACCTTCACTTCAGAGGAGACTGTGACACTAGAGATCGATCCCCGCTACCTCAGGGTATCATTTTCAATTCTTTTTTTTTCACCTTGTTGATGCCTATACTCCGTTCTTTCAATCTTCGTTATCGAGGGCACAACTTTCACGTAAACTCAAAGTGGGATTTTGGCGATGCACGGCGACATTGTCAACTAAGCAGTATTAGTGCGGATGCGGCAGGGGCAACCCGACCACAATGTTTAGCTGGGTTGGCCTAAAATTGTGCTGGCTGTAAACTACTAAGCATGTCAAAATACTCGTTCAAAATAAGATGTTCACAATATTAACTGTTCTAAAGCCCACTCTTAGTCTTCACATTACCCACGTTGATGTTGTTCCTGCAACTATCGCGATTACCTTCTAAACAATTTCTTCGCAAAAAAACTTCCTTTTTTTATTGGGACCTAGGCACATAATAGCATCCGTCACACTTCACTTTAAAGCGCTCAAAAGCTCGCAAAAATGCCCAAGCCCTTCCGCAGTAGCATTTCGTTTCAAGGGCGTGCTGGCGCTTTTGAGCTAGCGCGGAATCTGCGCAAGGAGATTAGAGAGTGAGGAGAGATTAAGAAATTTGAGTGCTTGAGCGCTATTGGGCGCTTTTGCGTGAACTCCGGCTGGTGCCTTTGGATTCCGCTATTGTAGCGTACCAAATCTTGTATTGGTTGGTGGTTGGGATATAGTCAGAACTATAAGGCCTCAAATACCACTTGTGAACCTCAACCAAAGATAATTTGCCACGCGGGTCTTGAGCGGTTGGACACGAGCACACCTCAAACTTGGGTAATTGAACTTTATCATAGAAAACAAATAACAACAACAAACACGGATAGAACAAATAACAAAATATGCTACTAAATGATGAACTACAAATAGGAATGATATGACTGGAAAAAGGCACTAATATAAGAGTAAAATAATGTTAAAGCAAATGAGTGAGAGTCGTAATGTGAATAACTCTGAGTGTGTACTGTCAGCTACTTATTTGCGTTCGATCACATCATCAGGCCACAGATGCGCGCGACATTCCAGTGTAGGTTAGCTAAAAACATGAGCAATTCACATCTAATGCTAACATCTGCAAATCCCTCCAATAATAAAAACGATGCGAGCTACTGGATTCATCGATGCTGTGCAACTGACAAAGTATGACTAAACTACAAGGATGTGATGAGTTTGTATATTCTGAGGGAAGAGAACAATACGAACTGCGAAGTTCGTATAAATCTCACCATTTTCTTAAACGGTGATCTGATTTATAAATGTGGAAAGCTGGCTGATAAAAAGCATGCCATATGAAAGGCAGATCAATTTGAGATCACCGTTTCTGAGGCATATACGAAATGTGACGACAACGGCGTTCGCGAGGAGCGGTACGCAGTTTCAGCAGCGGCATTTTTATTACTTTTTTCTCTACTTGAAGTCGTTTGCACGTAAACAACATTTGTTAGATGAACAAAGTAACTATGCTAAGCGCTTAAGTGGACCTGCTTAATATTTACGCTGATGTCCGACCGCAAAAACCGCAGTCGAATTCGTTTTCATGATTTTATGATTCTTATATGTACCTTGATAGAAGCCCGATACGTTCTGTCCATTTGCCTGTTAATGTATCCATGGCCTTGAGGCTACATCGTTAATAAGCAAAATGTTTTTTTATCGTTAATCGCACGTTAAGCGCAGTAAAATAAACTACAATCTGCAATACCCGCCCAATCTTTAGTCCAGTTGGTCGCTGTTAAAATACAAAATTGGCTCACAATAAAGTATATTCTGGCCCTTGTCAGCTTCTTCTTTTTCGTAAAAGATGCTTCTTACAGAAAATGTTGATCCGTTCATTCAATAATTTCAACGTGTTACTTATACATACAACAACGGTAATATTGCATACCAGTGCTTCACCTCTGCTTCGCAGAGGCTCGCACTGGCCATCAAGAAACGATGGTAAACTTACGATGTGAAGCTTTCTTTTAGATTATTGCCAGGTTGACTGCAATGAGAGAGTCCTAATTAAAATGAACCATACTCGCTATCAGACCCTCACATCCTCCAAAGAATTGTAAATCATTCCTCACTGTATTTTCGTAACAGGCAGACTTACAGAGCGACAAATAAGCGGCTTATTAGTCATCACCTCTGCTTCGCAGAGGTTCGCACTGGCTCTACTATCTATGTGCCTTACTCATTCTCGTAAAAGCGTGGCAATGAAACTCACCGCGCTATGCCGACTACCACGAATAAAATGTAAACAACCACTCATTTAGAAAGTCTTTTCACGTGAGATCGGTGATTTCGCGTGGATGAAACTTTTCGCAGGAAGACAGACGCAAATTTGAATAGGTTTTTGGATTTGTCATGACTTGGTAGTCGCCATAAAGGTAATGATAACCGTGAGCTACATCTTTGTGCGGAAATTTTCTCAAACGCTTAGCTAGAACCTTGGCAAATTGACCATTTACACAACCAATTCGTTTTGGCGCCGTTTTCGTTATGTAGTAAACCTTCGACCACTTTTCTGCCTAAACTCCATCGCTTGCACATTTGCTTACCAAACTCATCCACGACTCTGCAAAAAGAGGTGATACGGACCGTATTTTGCGGTACAGAAGCCGGGTGGACCCGTTTGGCGCGCAATTTCTGAGGGATCCACTCAACGAATCCGCTCATGCTTTTGCATGGTGTAGTTTTGTGCTGGTAGCATGTGCTGTGCAAAATTTGGGCCCAGGACGTTTGCTGGAACACGCTCCACGAATTTCGTAACAGACACACAAACACACACACAAAGTCACGTAAACATCCTTAGCCCGTTATTATAAGTCATGATAATAACACGCGTCTCAAGCTCAGTCTAAATTAGTGGTGGGGAGAGGGGGGGGGGGCGCTCAGGCCTACATGTACGTAAAGAGTAAAGATATTAGTACTAGAAACGTATTAGCGTTTAGCGTACTCTAGTATATCCTTGGGGTAAAGTCAAGAATTAAAGATAGCTGGCAACAGTGGCGCCTTGAGTGCCCGGGTGTCAATAAGCGGTGTACCGATAGCACCGCCCCAGCTAGCAGACTAGCTCACACAAACAGTAAGCTTGTAGCATTATATGCCCAAACGTTATTTTTTATCATTGCCTTATGCTATCGCTTCTGATATCTTCCTGAAGATGGAAATAATCAGCAATTGCGTCACTGTTCGCATCGCTAGTAAACATTTAAGCTCAATTCAGCATGTGAACTGCGTAAAGTCACTACGACTAATGTGAGAAGTAGAATTCATTGAAAAGAAACGGAATTGAGTCCTTTCTGCCCACTTTCTGGAAGAGTGAGGGCGGGCTGTTTTGCACTCGCGAGCAGCTGGCAGTTAGCGGCTGGCAGAGCTATCGTTATTCTTGAGCGCCACGCTATCCTTGGTACAATTTTACATTTCAACAAGTTTATAGGAAGATAAATGACTTTGAATGTGAAGTGATCTCCTAAGGGACTAGACGAAACAGCGAAAAACTCAAATTGTATGACAATGTTCTGTCATCCATCATGCTCAAGTATTAGGGTAAGTGAGCCTTCATAAGATCGGGAAAAAAAGATTAATGCAGACACCTAGGCTAATGGTAAATTCCCCGAATATGTCGCAATGTAAAGAAGCGAGCTCGCGACGTGTCTGACTGAAGGGCAGATTGCTCACGGCACGTCTTAGTCTTATCGCCGCAAAACTTGTGCGCGCACGCGCGGTCGAACCTTTCGATAACCATCGACGGCGCTCACTGCCACTGCGCTACTGATACTCCTCAAAGTAGAAAAATGAAAGCTGAAGCTAGCGAAGCAAAGTTAGAACAGCCGCTTACTGATGAAGAGCAAATCGATAGGCAAGCTTTTATGTGTTGGCTATTATGTAAGTTGTAAAGTATACACTGCCTTGCCTAAGTCACTATCAAAGCGCAATACTGACGGTACTGCTAGAAGAGAGTGCGTAACGCAGCGGCGATGTTGGGCGGCTTTGAGGCAAGGGTGGCAGGTACGAGGCCATGTGGGCCATTGTTTTGCAACTAGCTGGCTAGTCTTATGTAAATGAACTAAATTTGCTAAACGTTTTGGTTAGTGGGGAAAATAGCAATGCAAAACTTACTGACAATACACGAGAAAGAATATTGTATTAGGATGCGGCATAAACTCTGTCCAATTTTTTTGCGTGGTTGAAGCAGCTGTTATAAGAGGATTTTATTCTAGTGCGGTATAGTTAGTATCATTAAAAGTGGTTTTCTTGCTCTTTCTTAAGCATATCAAATTTCGATACACTTCTTAATGTAAGCAGATTTCAGGCGTAAAAACTCCAACAGGCCGCCGAGGTACGTTCTCACCCTAAAAATATGTTCTTGCGAGGAAATCTCCACAATATGCCCCTAAAGTCAACATTTTCATTGATAGCGGAATAAGTGTGTAGAAGGCTAGTATATGCAGAAGCTCAGTTCCCTGAAGAAAACGCCTTGCAAAAATTTATTGTTGAACATTAATTTTTTGTATAGATGTTTAACAAGCAATAACTTTGCGAATAGAAGTAATCGACGACTCCAAAGTTGCAGGTGCTAGGATTTAGCAAGAGCTAGCAGGGCCCATCCCCCAATTTCTTTTCGACGTTTACGTCAATTGTAAAGTTTTCATAATTCGTAAATAGGCATGCACACATGCGCTGAAGCGAGGTAAAAAAGTGGCTTCTTTTTTGCTCGTTTGAAAAAATCTCTCGGCAACGCAGACTTGTGGGCTCTTTTTGTTACAAAATAATCTATGGAAATTTCTCTATCTATTCATTGTTAGATAAGGTTCCTATCAATTCTCATAAGGGAGCATTGCTATGTCAAAAAAGACAGGTTTGAAGAAAAATGCTGTGAAGTTTTTGAGTGTTGCTTCTTTCTCAACAAGGATTTTCGCAGGTACCAATGCGTTCGATGGCCAAGGAACTGCTCAACACATAGAAATTAGGATCTTAGAAAGAAGTTGACTTCAAAAGAAGTTATGACTTTTTGAACTCAAAGAATTTAAATCGGACAGAACTTATGCCGTAGCCTAATGAAACAACAACTACTTTGGTTAGCGCAAACATGAATTTTTCATTAGCCATAATGCCAGGCGGTTCCCTCCCTCAAATTAGAAGGGAAACATTGGACATGCAGTTACTAAACAGCATCAGCATATAAACGTTGTAAAAGGTGCTCAGATGAAAAAAGTAAGGGGATTGAAACATGCGAAAGGAAAATTTGGCGCGCAATGAGTTGCGATGTGAGAATAAAAGGGAAAAATAGTTCAAACACGATAATATGCGAACAAGTAGAATTGTGAAGTAATTTGTAATCAAAATAAACTCCGATTTTTCCAATTACACGAAATAAAGCAGCAGAAACGCTAAGAAAACAGAATAAGTCGCTCAGCGCGTTGACATTTGGACGCCTATCAGGTGTTGATATTGATTGCCTTTGGCGTGCGTTAAACCTAGTGATGTGTGCTTACGGTCCTTGCGCACAGGACGAACTCGGTGCACTCGACCCATGGTCGATCGCGCCTTCCTGCGTCTCCACGACGGGTCCACTATTTCTTTTTGTCTGCCCCTAAAGGGACGACGTTTACGACGTGCTCGTCCTTCGCGCACGAGGCGAGCACGTCCTGCTCGTCCTTTGCGCACGAGGCGACGTCCAGCGATTTCACCGCGCGGCCGTGATAAGAGATAGCTGTCGGAGAATCGCCGCCGAAGCGTTACGGGGTACGTGCGATCTTTCGGATGTCGCGACCACTACGAAGGGGAATTGCTACGAGCATTAGAGTGGCGAGACATGACGCGTCCTTCTCAGATCCCCTCCTTCCAGCTGGGATGTACGTGCCTGAAGGCTTTAGAGATTAATTACAGCTTCAATTGATTAATTTAACAAATGCGCTACAGACTCTTTCAATAAACACTTTATAAGCTCATTTATGTATGTATTGATTTTCACTACTGCTCAATCAATTCAATCGCTTCGAACAATATATGCAGCAGTATGTGTGCAGTAGAAAAACAAGTGAGTCCTCAAAGTCTCTCCTCATCAAATACGAATTGTTGTCGACATTCCAAATAAATCAAATAAACCAAAGTACTGTGCTGCGACGGGGACAGTCGCGGAACACACGACAGCTCGGTGGTATTACCAGCGGTGGTAAGCGCGCCAACACGCTGCCAGAATTAACCAAGGTCACTTCTATGTATTGCTTTGGTTTGCTAACTGTTCGAAACGAAAAGCTCAGAAAAACTATCCCACTACTTTTCATTCTATTATAATATCATAGCTACTTATGTAATCAATAAAAATCTATGTTCTGAAAAATGGACGCTTTTTGATATAACAATCTCCAAGAACAGGACTAAAACCCAACCTAGTGCTTGAAGGATTCTTACAACGTTGCATTTTCAGTCTGCCGATTTGGCTGCATTCATGTCAGCTATCACTTCAGCCGTTATCTCCTTGATTTGCTACATTTTCGTGCTGATTCACGTCAAAAGATGTGCTTTCGGGTGAGTTCACACCGTTCTTTCCCAAAAAAAGCTCAGAAAAGGTTCTTTGATCTTTGAACAGTATGACAGAGGCTAGCAGCAAAAAATCGGGACAAACCTTCTACCGGCTTCGTCCTTTTTGAAGCAGTGGATAACGTTGAAACTGGGGAACACTGACCGACGACATTTAAGGCGCACATCATGCTTCATCCACTTAATTCGCTTGATCCACATCATCCACTTCGCCATTGGTGAAATCAGTGAACTGACCAATAACAAAGCGGATATAGATTGCGATTATAGATTGCGTTTCTTTAGAGCACAGCCGAGAAATTGCGACATCGTTTGAGAGTAAAAAGCTATAATTTTGAACTTTGTCATTTTTTTCAGTCCAATCAAGACTGGATTTGCTTTCTCAATCGAAAATTTGAGATTTCTCTGCTCAGTGAGATAATGTCTGACTGCTGCAGCAGCACCTAAGTCATAGTGTTGATTTGTGTATAAAAATGTAATTTCGGGCCTACAGCGCACCGCAAATATAATACGTCCCCGACACCGAAGTTTCTCTTAAATAAGCAAAAAATTGAGCTAGAGTCTTTGATCCGAGAAAATTACCTGCGCCAACCACATCAGTATGAGAATCACTTTAGGCAGAAAAGTTATGCCTTTCGGCTCACTTTTCAAATCAGCGGTCTGATACTTGCCCTTCTACTGGTCTTCTTATTTTATATGGGCCGCTACCTGCCAAATCTATGGGTATGTTTTTACTATCTGCTCTTCGATAAAAAAAAGTAGCTCTCCAGGAAGTTTCTTCCCTACCTTCGATATATGTAGCATTGAATGCCATTCTGTCATGTATACATCCATGGACATACTTTATTTTCAACGGAGAAGTCAGAAGAAAAGTTATGAATACAGCAAAATGCAAAGGAGACGCAGTGAACACACAAAGGGTTTGTCGTTTCATTACCCACAGTGACTTCAAGACTGAGCGTCATAGCTGTGTTCCAATAAGCAAGTTGACAGGATCAAGTATCCTTGCAACGCAGACAGCAAACTCAGATACCTAGATGGTCCGTTTTCACGTGATGAGGCCCCAGCACATAATTTTCCAGTTCCCTGTCCCTCGCTCTGTACATCCACGATCTTCTTTACTGTCGTCGGTAGCTGCGTCCTCGGATTCCGGGTACGAATGCTTCGCGGGCAATGCACTTTAATGTTTTTAATGTCCATCTGTCTTCTGTTCTTCCCTTGATGTAACCAGCTCATCGATGTTTCGCTTCCGCAGCGTATGCTGGGTAACGAAGACATTTTTCTCACATCCGTACTGCGGAGTCCGACAAGATGTTGTACAGTATCGGCCCAAGTCTTAACTGCGTAGCAGAGCGCCGAGAGAACGGTTGAGTTGAACAGGTGGGCACGAAGCTCCGGGTCCGTCAGTTGGTCGGTGGCTTCCTTCAGAGGCCCAACGCGGCCCAGACTGCTCTTCTTCTCCTGTTGAGTTCTTCCCTCAAGTCGTTCTCCATGTTCATCGAACGTCCGAGATGCACGTAAGAAGACGTCTCCATGATAGGGGGACGTTATTCCATTTTTGCATCTTCGCAAAGGCGTTTTTCATAAGAGTCTTCTTCCGATTCATTCGCAATCCGATCTTCTTATTTCGTTTAGTTCCTTCAGCATCGTCTCTGCTTCAGTGATACTGCTGGAAAAGAGAACGATATCGTCCGCAAAACGAAGGTTCGACAGGAATCTTCCATCAACTCGTATACCTCGCGAGATGGTTTGCATTCGGATCTCGCCTCAGCGGTCTTCTTCTTTCGAGTAAATCTTTGGTAGCGCCGAGTTCTCCTCACTAAAATCGCTGAAGAAAGGAAGTCACTGAGGCGCATCCTCCGCACGTTCGCAATCCTTTAAAGGCACTGGCTCGGGAAAATTGCAACTGCGCGTTTGCTGTTCCTCCTTGGCCTCTTCTGTATACGTTCAGACCAGTGACCAGTGATGTGCTTGAAAAGCCAAAAAAGTGCTTTTTATGGCATTTTCCGGCTTTGTAGATTGCTGAGGAAGCCGGAGCGAAGAAGCGCCAATTGCGAGTCGGCTGCGGGAATCTCCGCTCCAGCCTCCTCAGCAATGCAGAAGGCCGAAGAACGCCATAAAAAGCACTTTTTTGACTTTTCAGCTATGATCTAAACGTGTAAAGAAGGCCAAGGAGGAACAGGAAGCGCGCAGTTACAATTTCTCCGAGCCAATGCCTTCAAAAAGTCGGTCGTGAAAGTACGTTGGGTTCTCGTCGATGGGCCTCACACTATAATATGGGCTTTTTTGACCTGTCATCGTTAAATTCTCCCCTCTTTCTTGCGGCACTGTGGAGATCTTCTTTAGTCGTAATGTCGCTCGAAGGAGGCGATGATTGGAGCCACTGCAGAAGGATGGAACTGCTGAGACATCGAGCAAACTCCACCTCTGGGTGAGTATGTGGTCGATATCCGCAGTCGTGCGTTTGGCGATTCCCATTTCCACCAGCAATGTTCTTTCTTCATAAAGATGGAATTTCCATGAAAAGTCGCGCGGCGAAGAGAAGCCCAACGAGACGGTTGCCTTTTCATTCCGAAGCCCATATCCAAACTTCCCGATCCTATATTTCTTTTTTTGTGGCGTTCCCAATTTTCGCGTTGAAGTCGCCCACAACAAGATACCAAGTGCCTAGTTCTGGTTTGTCAGCTGTTGATGTTGGGAGTAGCACTTGATGATGCTGAGTCTTCTTACATGTGTAGTCGTAGGATGGCTAGTCGAGGCGATAAGACTCAATAAGATTCCACAAGGTGCATGATAGATGGATGGACGACAAGGCCAACGCCTCCAACGTTTCGTGATGGAACTTCCTCACCACGAATGATGAGGGTCTCATCACTCATCTGTTGCACGTTCTTCTTTCTGGACTTCGTTTCCTGCAGAGCGTGTGGTACTTGATGTGCTCTGCAGCGCCGACAAGAGCGTGGAGGTCCTCAGACAATCGGTGCCGTAGTCGCGCCGGACAGTCGAAATCTGCCAAAGCTGCGGCGGACCCAGTTGACCAATGAGAGCGGGGCGAGGGGGCGGTCCCTTCTTGTAGGTCACGTGACGTCACCGGCAGGCGAGTGGGACCCTTCTCCGGATCTGCTCCAAAGGTACGCCATCTCTGCTCCGGAGGTACGCCAGATTTGGCAGAGTCGCGGAGCAGAAAATCGGAGGGGTCCGGAGCACAAATGGGAGCTCTCCGGAGCACAAATGGGAGGGCCCCGGAGCAGAAAATGGGACACTTCTGGAGCAGAAAATGGCAGGGCTCCGGAGCACAAATGGGAGGGCCCCGGAGCACAAATGGGAGGGCTCCGGAGCACATAGTGGGAGGTCTACGGAGCACAAAATGGGAGGTCTCCGGAGCACAAAATGGGAGGTCTCAGGAGCACAAAATGGGAGGTCTCCGGAGCACAAAATGGGAGGTCTCCGGAGCGGAAATGGGAGGTCTCCGGAGCACAAAATGGGAGGTCTCAGGAGCACAAAATGGGAGGTCTCCGGAGCACAAAATGGGAGGTCTCAGGAGCACAAAATGGGAGGTCTCCGGAGCACAAAATGGGAGGTCTCCGGAGCGCAAATGGGAGGTCTCCGGAGCACAAAATGGGAGGTCTCAGGAGCACAAAATGGGAGGTCTCCGGAGCACAAAATGGGAGGTCTCCGGAGCGCAAATGGGAGGTCTCCGGAGCACAAAATCGGGGGACTCCGGCGCAGAAAATCGGGGGGCTCCGGCGCACAAAATCGGGGGACTCCGGAGCAAGAGTGACAATCCCCAGCTGGGGAAACCCCGCGGCTCGGCCATTTCTGCGCCGGTGGGGTCCGATCCACTGTCTGAGTCGGTGTTTGTGGAGATTGTCTGTAGGTGCAGAGCATGAGGCAGTCTTCATGATGCGTCGTTCTGGCAGACGTGTCTTTTTTGCCCCATCCAAAAAGCGCCCTAAGGCCCCTGACATCGTTTTTCTTTCACGAGGTGCCGTAGACGAAATCCGATGTACAGAGTTTTTTCTCTTCTTTTAGACGATGGAGAAATAAAGTTTTGCCCCTACAAGAGTAACTCAGGGCCACATGCATTAACATCCCTGCCGGGGGGATCGCAGCTAACAAAGCTTCATATCCTGAAGTCCGAACTTCTGGATTTCACGCTCTCTACCCTCAGTAAATATTAACACCATCCTTGATCATGAACATATTAGAGAAAGGCGAGAAGCTGTACAAGCCGCATTTTCCAGCCTTTTGTAGATCCCCTAATGATCCTTGGCTGCCGAGCATCTTTTCTATGAAGTCATTTTTCTTTTTTCAAGGTTGATGGAAAGATTCCAAAATTGTACTTTTCATCTAACCCAACAGTGCTAAGCATGTTGCTGATAAGAACAAATGATATTTTGCAGTCATGAAATTTGCGATGAACCACAAGTCGAATGTTCGGGTTTATCGAAAAAATCGACTTTTCAGGTACTCATCTGTATATCAACAACAATGTTTAGCACTGTTGTTTTAGATGTTCAGTACAACTTTGGAAGATTTTCGTTGAATTCGAAGAAAGAAAAGTGACTTTGAAGAGCGGTCGGCCGCCGGGGATCATCAGGGGATTATACAAAATGTTGGAAAATGCGGCTTATACAGCTTTCCGCTCCTGTTCAATACGTTCATAGTGAAGGATGGAGGGAATACTAACGGATATGTAGACAGCATGAGATCCAGATATCTGGAGCTTTAGGATATGAAGCTTTCTCTATAAGCTGCGATCCCGTCCCCAGGGATGACATGCGGCCCTTGCAAGGCCAACTAATGATTCTTAGGCTCCCGCCAGAGTGCCGAAGCTATGCCAGCGCTACGCCAGCATTTCGATCGATACACGTGTATTTCGTTGGGGCGGGGCTAGCTGACGTCCTCAAGAAATACACGTGTATCGATCGAAATGCTGGCGTAGCGCTGGCATAACTTCGGCACTCTGGCGGGAGCCTTACGGGGCGATCGCTAACGCCGAGCGTGGAACGGGGACCGCCTAGCGAGAAGTTAGAAAGTGGGGGATCTGGCCTGGTCCGCTCCTAGCTAGGCATTATGCCGAAACCGGAAATGTCGAGCTTTTTAACAGCGTGGGAAGCCCTACCATATGCACTCGTCTGAACACTGCGGTTTTCCCAGGCCACATCCATGCTACGCTGATGGCGGACCATAGTAGGCGGGGGGAGCGGGGGGGGGGGGGGAGGGGAGATGAGCAAGGCGCAGAGTATTGAGATTGGTCGCTTAGCATTTCTGACCAATCAAATTGTAATTTGTCATAGCAAACAAGGTACAACTATGATATTTTTCACAATGTCTATTATCAGCAGGTCCCCTCTCTCGGTGCACATTTTCTGGCTGATGGTAGTATAGAGAGTTACATTTGAAGCTATTTTGAGGTTCTCGCTGTCAAGTACTCAGCTGTCAAGTATGTTCGACAAGCAGATGCTCGAAAATAAGCTTTTGCATTCGCAGGGGTTAGGATACATCAGGGCACCTGCGGTTTGACGAGACCCTATGATTTCGGGACTTTTGCCTGTTTCTGCGCGTTAGTGTCCTCAGCTGGACTTCCAAAAGCAAAACGCATACAGGTCGTTGTTCACTTCATTGTTTTGCAGAGGCAGACTATAACGATCACAGTACCTCCTGCATCAAGGACGTAACGGACACAGTCCGATCTTTGTTGGAAGTCATGACAATTCAAGAGGACCTCTACGGAGTATCTCAGCTGTCGAACCTCATCAGATGGAAGCGTAAAATAACCTATGATATTTTTATACCGATGCAATTTGCTCGTTGTTTCTCGCGGCTTACTCCGCTGGTAATTAGAGATATTGTCACATTTGTTACGCAGTATAATTTTTCGTCTGGAAGCATATACAGTGCTGACTTTTTATGTAAACAACAAAATGTCAGTGTGCGTATCGTATAAAAAAATCTAAATGTGAACGTTCATTGTGGAAACTGCAATGAGGAACTAGACAGTCGCAGAAATAATGGGCGTTTCTTCTGCTATAACCGCAGTGTGATGTGAAATACATGGGGCATTACTTGATAGAGCAACCAGCTCTAAAAAACTGCTACCAGAAATCGGCAAATCTCATCCACATGGACTTTGAAGACAAAATCTAAAAACAATAAGTGCTTCAAAATTCGGATCTCGGCATAGGAAAATGTTACGAACCTCCTACTTTGTCAGAATGTAAGTCAAGATATCGATGCAACGGAGATATCGTATCAGGCAATAGAATACCTCTATTCTTGTTCTTTTCAAGATTAGAAAATTACCAGCATCTAGACTTATGCAAATGGAAAGCTTTGCTCTACAGTACCGTTCGTGATTTGTAAAAAAAAATCAGGGCACTCCGCCGAAATTCGCCCAACTCCCGTGTATCGTCAATAGTCGGTTGAATCTCGAGGATCTTCCCAAATTTTTGTTCATGGTAGGTTGATTGTGCAATAATTAAACACTTTGAGTAACCTACCGTGAGCAAGAATCTGGAAGTATCCCTAAAATATGACCGACTGTCGTGCCCAAACAAACACCTCTATATATCAATAGCAGTGGCGTACCGAGGGGTGGGAGCGGGAGGAGAGGGATGGGTCGCGAAATTTTTGAAAGTTACTTAAATGTGTTATGAAAATGTGCAAGCGACTTGTACTCGTAAATAGTTAAAATGATTTTTAAGAACTGAATTCAAATTAGCCTTGTAAAAAAATTTTTTGGGGGCGTGGCTGCCTCCACGCCCCCTTTTTCTAAAATTCGGGGTCAGGGGGCCGCAAAAATTTCGGAAAGCATCCCAAAAAATTTTCGGAGTGCGTGGCTGACGCCACGCACCTACATACAGAAGAAATTTTTCTCGCGCCCCCCCCCCTCGAGCGGAAATGCTGGATAGGCCACTGATCAATAGATGCACCTTGTAGAATCGAAGGATGCTTTTGGATTCAAAATTTATCCATTCTAAAGCAAGAGATGGCGATGCAACGCGAAGTTTGGCGAACTCCGACGGAGTGCGGTGATATTTCACAAATTACGAGCGATATTGTATAAATCATATAATACAATGTACCTTGAAAATTGTCCGATTTGTCCTATATTATCTGTCTGCGGATATTGAATACTACTTGAACTTCATGTAATCTGAGAACCAAAGACGCTCAAAGTGTCACATTTGTTGTTTGCACTCGATTATGTTGCTTCTTTCACGTATCAATTTCACGGTTAGTTTCAGTGCAAAAACCGAAGATCAGGTGGCATTATGAGTTTCACTTTAAAATATCTGGAAAATTGTTTTGCCTCACTCTTGAGTGTCAATCATGGGTGAGCCTTCTTCTTCTGACCGTCAAAACAGCAAGTGAGTTGACGTTTTTTCTTCCTAGGCAAAATTCGATTAGATCTCAAGTATCTTTCCTCTAACAAATCAATCCTTTATTTCAACTTTTGTACGTTTCTATGATCACATATTTCATTTTAGAAATTATCATGACAAACACTCGACTCAGCTAGAGCAGTTGTGCAAACTAAAACTTTCTGAAATACAATTTCATCACAGAAAGACAAGCATAATTTGTACAATAGGTATGTTTATTATTTACTCGACTGTCCTTGTCAAAAGGAGGAAATCATACTGTTGAAAATGCAACGGAACATTTCATTTTTCATAAATTATCTAAAGGTCCATCATGCAACACTGTGCCGAAGCTGCGGGAACTGATACTCAATGGAATGAATATTGCCAGACTAAATTTCAGTCATGGATCTTACGAGGTAAAGGAAAATGCATTAGTTTCAATAAATCTTAGAACTCTATTGTAGGAACACGCTGAGGTCATTGCTAGAGTTAGAGAGGCCAATGAGAACCATTACGATCCAGTGGCCATTGCTCTTGACACAAAGGGCCCTGAAATAAGAACGGGTGTTCTGAAAGGAGTTCGTCACCAGTGTTTGCGTTCTTTTCTTTTGCAAATTTTAGGAATTTAGGGTAAAGAAGTCACATTGGAGCAAGGCAACAATATCCAGCTAACAACAGATAAGAAGTACGAAAGCGATGGATCAGCTACTTGCATCTATGTTGATTATGTCAATCTGCCTCAAAATGTGAACAAGGTGAGATAAAGGGCAAATCAAGTTTTGCGATTTTTTATCGGCTTCATCTGTTGTGACATAGGGTTCACGCATCTACATCGATGATGGACTCATTTCGTTGTTGGTTGAGGACGTATCTAAGGATGCTGTAAACTGCAAAGTCGAGAACGGAGGAGTGCTCGGAAGTAGAAAAGTGAGTACGTTTTCACCTTCAGCAATATATCAATAGTGGGTTGAACAGAAAGGTAACAATGGAAGATAATGGACGGAAATAATAACCTCAACTGAAATGACGACTCTCAACATATACAGGCGAATCGTCGAACGCAGAGAATGGGCCACTGCGTACGCTATCAGCGTCTCTCTGATCAAGCGCGCTATAAACCCTCTTACCGTTCGCCGTCTCTTCCAAACACGAACTATCCCAGTCGTCCGCAACGAGTCCGTTCTCTGCGTTCGATGTCTCATCTATTAGGTTGTCCCAAAGGTTTGTTGGTTTTTTTTTCATCGACCACCAAAACTCACAGAAAACCAATCAATGGATGTCTTAGGCCTCGGGCAGAGTTCAAGCGATTTGATCGTAGCGATTCAATCGCAACAAGACAACTGTCACGAGTTTATTGCATGCCGACCAGCTCGCATTTCGGTTGTGATATTTTTCCAGCCCGAAATTTTTGAATGTAAAATGAAAATGAATGGAAATCGCGGCGATTGAATCGCGACGATTAAATCGCGTGAACTCTGTCCGAGGCCTTAGGCACCATTCAATTCAGATGTTTATCTTCCTTCTTATGGCTATATTTGCTCTTTGATCTATGCTGTCTTCGCGATGTTCTCGCCATGGGTTTTCGAGCAGCTTAACAGTAATGCCAAAACTTTCCTGAATTTCAAAGAATCTTACGCTTATACTTACAAAGAGGGTTGGCAGCTGTTATGTAGAGCAAACCTTTGACTACGTTACACACATTTTAGTTCGCATGCGTCACGTTCATCACGTCTAAAATAATTATTTATTTACGAAAAACAACGGCTTTTTATCACGTTTAACGTATAAGAATACCGAAATTTCCAAATAGCTGATTTTCCAGAGCAAATCAGACTGGATCATGCTGCACAAATAATGTTTGATAATAGCCAAATCTCAACGAGCAAAAACTCTCGCGTGTTCCATGACTTTACGAAAAATCGAGACCTCCGAAGAAACAATTTTTTGAAGTTAAAAACAGGAGATCAGGAGAATCCAAAAACATTGCAGCATAGTCCGAAAGTTGCTCTACTTGTGTCATACTTGATCCTTTCCAAAACTCTGATATAAAATTTTCAAAAATAAGCCGAAGTTTGAGCAGATAGAAATAACGGGTGAAAGTTTGGCAATTATCACGAAAAGCAATGATTCTGGTCCGAAAATGCCACTGTAAGAAAGGGAAGGAAATGCTGCATCGAATGCCGTTGAAACTCATTTGGGACTTTGTTGACGTGTTTTATTGTCGTTTGAAAAAACCGACAAAACTTTGGGGACAACCTAATATATGTCATATTTTCACAGATTGGATGTCCTCTCTTTTCCTTCTCCTAGCTAAGATTTTAGCGAAGCAGTAGTACATGCAAACTTTGAGCCTCTACTCACTTGCGCGTAATCATGTATTCCCGTCAAATGGATAGGTTCTTAATGATAACATATAGCGTGAACAAACATTTTCAAAAAGTATCCATTTAGGGTGTAAATCTGCCCGGAACTAGTGTTGATCTGCCTGCTGTCACTGAGAAAGACAAAGCCGATCTCCAGTTCGGTGTAAAGCAAAGTGTGGACATCATCTTCGCTTCTTTCATACGGAGCGCCCAAGGAATCCATGAAATTAGGAAGATTCTCGGAGAAGAGTAAGTCTGCGGTTCTACCGGAGCTCAAAAATAGACATTGTTGTATTATAGAAACGCAGTTCTAAGTGAAAGGACTTTTTTCAAGCAAGTCTTTGCAGGGGCAAACATATCAAAATCATTGCCAAAATTGAAAACGAAGAAGCTGTAAGGAATGCAGATGAAATCGTAGAAGCAGCTGATGGAATAATGGTGGCGCGAGGTGATCTTGGCATCGAAATTGCACCAGAGAAGGTTGGATCACTTATAAACAAATAGTACGGTACTTATGGTGTTCCTGCAATTTATCAACAACATTTACGCGGGAACCAATGACTGTAGCACTAAACTTGCAACCTAGGACAATCGTACAAGCACAGAATCTCGGCGTTATGTGCATGTCTTGGTTACGCGCAAGTACTGTGAGCACAGCAGAAACACTATAAAACCGTCAAACTTGATAACCATATATCCATGTTCCACATGAGTGAAGAAAATCATTCAGGTATTCCTAGCTCAAAAAATGCTCACAGCGAAGTGCAATTTAGCAGGAAAACCGGTAATCTGTGCAACGCAGATGCTGGAGAGCATGATCACAAAGCCGCGACCGACAAGAGCCGAATGTTAGTTATATTCATTCATGCTAATAGCAGATAGGAAAAAGTTTTCTCCAAAGCAAATCTCACTTCAGGCAGTGATGTAGCAAATGCTGTTCTTGATGGTGCAGACTGTGTAATGTTGTCTGGGGAAACTGCCAAGGGAAAGTACCCTGTTGAAGCACTTCTACTGATGCATCTGGTTTGTAAGGCTCAAATAGAGAGAAAACAATTTGTGGTGATTGTTTTTAACAAAAATTTCAGATCTGCAAAGAAGCTGAAAGCGCTTTCTTCTATGAAAGATACTACGAGGAGATTATGTTCAACACCCCGAAGCCAACCGATATCACTCACACAACAGCTATTGGTGCCGTCTCAGCAGCAATCTCATGTAAAGCCAGTGCGATTGTGTTGGTCACCACATCTGGGAAGTCAGTTCATATACAGTACTAAGAGCCTAAATGCATAGATCAGTCGATATATTGATTCGTGTGTGTTAGCTCCGTCGACAGCGAGACGCCTGTGATTGGTCGGGCTGCAAATGAAAGGCGGGGCTTTGAAAAACCTTACAAGTTCATACTGGTTATATCCTGTGGACTTTTCAGATTGATTTGTTCGCATTATAACTTGTCAATACATTCAAGCAGCTAAAATCTGATCCATGACGAAGGCTCACCGCAAACGGCGCGCGGACAAAATGTTGTGCATGGAGCGCGGACGTAATACCAAGGCTTGGGGACTAAATTGCTTTTCTTGTACTCTAGACGGTGTTAACCTACGTTCGCAACTTTTATAAACGTGTTCACTCAAAGCTAAGTTATTGTTCACAAACTTCACAAACTTTTCTCTCTACACATGTCTTGTCACCACTTTTGTATGCATACTATACTTGGGGAAATTCGAAATTTTTTTCGAATATTCGAATATCGAATATATTCGAAAATAAAAAATTTCGAATATCCGACTTTCGAATATTATTCGAAAATCGGAACGAATATTCGACTATCGAATATTATTCGAAAATGAAAATTTCGAATCGAATAATATTCGAATATCGAATATCATTCGTTATTCGAATTTCGAATATTATTCGGTTCTCGAATGTTATTCGATTTTCGAATATCATTCGATTTCCGAATACTAATCGAATAATTTACGTCATTGGGACTGCCTATGAAAGGCCAAAACACTAAGAATAAATTGTTTTATGTAAGTGCTAAAGAATGGGTACATTCTTATGTTACAATTTACAATGGAAAAACGGTTTAGTCGTGACGTGAAGAGACTTAGGAACCTAAAAGCTCTCCTGTGACTGTTATGAAGAGATTTTTACTTCAAAGAAGACTATATACCCTCACTGAGAGTTGCGACTGGATATACAGCGGTCCCAACACTATATAGATCTGTAGGCTGGCATCAACTTAGAGTATGGGGGGATTTATCAATCGCTTATCAATGTTGTAAAATTACCGTAAGATTGAAGCGGGTTTCAGAACATCAAGAGCAATTTCCCCAAGAAAAAGAATCAAAAGGGCCGAAGGTCTTGCCTCACATTTCTGCAGACATTTACTTTATGTAGAATTTGCACTCAACCGTAATGCTACGTCCAAAATAGCGAAAGGCACGAAATGACGTGGTACCTACGGGAATCTTGCTGGTTAACAAACGATGCCGTAACAAGTGTTTTGCAACGCCTTTCAGAATTGTGCTTGCCATTTGAAAAGCTTGAAAACTCGTGCGTAGTAAAATCAGCATACGTAAAACGCTGCTGCACAGATTTTAGAACTTTTTTGGGGACACTTTTTTTGGATGTTTTATTTTGCAGTTGGTCTATTAGCTGGAGTTTCCTACTGTGATAACACACAATAAGAAAATATGAGTGATTCGCTTTCTGCTGTATTTATAAGCCGAAGCCATCCCCACTAGATGTTACCCAGAAATTGACAAAGGAATTTGAGAATATTAGCGATCAAACGGTGTGTAGATACTTTTAAGACACCCCGTATACGCAATGCATATCGAATTCTCGAGTTTGGTGCTTATCGAATTTTCGAATAGTCAATTCTTATCAAATTCCGAATATTCGGTGCACATCAATATTCGAATATTTGATGGACATCGAATGATCGAATGATTGACCCTCGAATATTCGACTATCGAATAATATTCGAAAGTGAAGATTTTCGAATATTCGACTTCCGAATAATATTCGAAAATGAAGATTTTCGAATATTCGACTATCGAATATATTCGAAAACTGAAAATTTCGAATATTCGACTTTCGAATTTTATTCGAAATCTCAGATTTTCGAATATTCGACTTTTCGAATCATTCGCATTCGAATGATTTATTCGAATGATCGAATAATTATTCGATTCGGTCCCAAGTATAATGCATACCCATAATCATCGTTCATCACTGAACAAATACGCTTATTTTTTCTTGTCTCCTTCCTCTTCTTTCTTCAACTCTAAGCATGCATTCTTCTTCTGGTCAATTTTCTCCTGTATGTCTCGTTTTCTGCGCATGCGCGCTCCATGGCTGGCGGTTGCCCGTGCGCGCCGGTCTCGCATGCGCACAGTTTACCTGGGCGCCTTCGTCGTGGATCAGACATTATGCGACGTTGCAGAGGTACAGAGCATTCTGCACCCAGTGATATAATGGAAAATTACGGGGGCATTTCCATGCAAGACCGCAGTTATGCGCGACAACACAGTTCTATCCAGACTTAACTGGGAGGGAATTATCGCGAAGGCCATGCAGGGTGGTTGTAGCATACCATGCGACTCTTTGTTTACCATTTTGCAGTTAAGAACTTTCCTGGCTTTCATTGCTTGAATGAAACTGTCAACACAAGCTAGCGCAAAAATTTTCCGTTTGAAAGCGACCATCGTACTGCAAAAGTTCGCTTCCGAAGCGAGATAATCGCTCCGGATAGAAGGATTTGAACTCGTATAGCTCCGCCCCATGAAGATGCGGTGTGGTTGCCCCGCCCATTCAGCGATGACGCGCTAACGCGATTTAAAAAGCCACCACGTTTTGATCTTTCCAATCACTCGTACTTACCGTTCAATCACTCCAAGTATCATTTCAGCACCGCAGCCATCTGCTCGCGCTATCGTCCACCAGTTCCAGTGATATCCATCTCTAGAGATGCTCGAAAAGCCCGCCAGCTTCATCTTTACAGAGGCGTTTTCCCACTTTTGTGGTCTCGTAAGCAACCAAGTGTAATTTATTGTGAGATAATCGATGTTTCTGTACCGTTTAGAACCTCGCCTCAGTGACTGGAAAAAAGACGTGGAACAGCGCATTCAGTACGGCTTAGATGTTGGCAAAGACAAGGGCGTTATCGAAGCAGGAGATATCGTAGTCGTTGTAACTGGGTGGCATCGAGGTAGGCTTTCGACTTGTCGTGCATTTGCACAGTTTCAAATCTAATTTGCAGGTACTGGATTTACCAACACTATTCGAGTGATCGTCGCCGATTGACAAGCTATGAATATCTGATCCAAAATTGTAGAGTATGTCATATACACCTACGCTAGATGTATGCTAATGAATCTCACTGCTCATGATTTTCATTTGAAAATGTCAAAGTAGTTATCTCAAATTTCAAGTTTTCTGAAATCTCCCAATATCCTTTCTTACATTTGACCTCGCATTCTGAGAAATGTTCTGCATAATGTTTGTCTCATAATAATGAATTTCCATCAATGACCTGAATGCTAGCAATTGAAAAAACAACAAGTGGTCAGTTCTCCACTCGGTAAAGCAGATTTGAACAGAACTATTTTTCTTTGTATCACTTTCCAGAATAGGATTCCTCTCTTTTCTTGCACAAATGAGGATACGTAAGGATAAGAACGTTAAGGCTGCGAAAATATTTCCTTTTTAGCATGAACAAGAAATGTCGAAATTTTTTTTGTACCTCAAGTCAATCGGAGTGGAACTGCCAAAAACATTAAAAATGCTTATACCAATGCTTATACCAAGCCAGAATTTTTCTCGAACGCAAGAAAAGTACAGTGTCGACAACAGAAAGATCAGCTTATCATAACTTAATTTTTGATTAGTTCGTCTGTTTCAACACTATTTGAAATAAGAAAAGAATTCATTGTTCAGGTTAAACAAATAAAAAAACTCGTTTTGATTGAAAAGAGAGGATGCCCAGTTATTGTGAACACTTCATGAATGGATTGGAAAGCATGTTTTTATTGCATTTCGCTTTAGCTTTTGGAAAAAAGAAGTGTAAAGTCAAAAGATATTAAGCAAAACCACTAATCATATTCGAATAAAGTGGTAAAATAAAAATTCAATTTTGCTTCCGTATGGTTCTTTGTCACTTCTGAACTTGGTTTTGATGTTGATTCGAAGTTGCATGTTCAAAATGCATTAGTTAAGCGTTGGAGAAGATAGATTAGAGGGGGGAGGCTTGCAATGCACAAAAGCGAGCCCAACTAATTCTTTCTTTGCCTGCAGCTAATTATTTTTGCTCCTAAACAGGGAAGGATACTTGGTGACTCCAGCCGTTCCTAACGGTTTGTATATCAAAAAATGCGCCCTTCAATGCTGGTTCGAATGCTTTTTTCCATATTTGCGAAACGAGAACCTGGATGGAGTTATGATTAATTTTTCAAAAATAAATTGCGCTACTGCGGAGGGTAAAAATCATTAATAAAAACTGAGTATGGTTTAGATAAGCATAAATGCAACGTTACATCTTTCAAGATTCTCCTCAATAGCTTCAAACGGTAAAATTGATCAAATTGAGTGATTTTAACTATCCTATTTTCAGGTGTATAAGCTTTTTTCGCTCTAAAGGCGAACACGCCAAAAGACTGACTGTCATCATGGAGCGCGTTAAAGGCAGCGGCTCGGCAGAATTTCGTTTTCCAGTTCTTCACCTTTTCGAAGCCTCTTCGCAATGAGGAACCCATATCTGAGCTTTTCGGCGCATGGAAACAAAAACGCGTTTTTTCCGAGGCTTTTTACCCACATTCAGTGAAGATACGCCGGAAAAAGCCGCGCCTCGCCTTTTTCATTACGAGCCCCGCCCACTTACTGACCTGAAAAGCTTCGGAAAAAGCTTGTTTTCGCCATTTTCATGCGCTGAAAAGCCCAGATATGGGTTCCTCATGGCGAGAAGGCTCCGAATAGGTATAAAACTAGGAAGCGAAATTTTCCTGAGACGCTGCCCCTGAGAGCAGTATGCGATAAGGCAACTGCTTCGCGAGACATATGCGCGGCGGCACGCCTGGGTCTGCTCGCGTTTAGAGCAAAAAGGTGCAGCTTATGCACCTGAAAATAGGGTATCTAAAAGTACGCAAATTTTTTACGAAAAAAGTTCATAACTGCCTTCAAATGATCGTTTCGCATATTTCGAGCACACATTTAGAATCAGCGTTTCGAGGTGCATCTTAAACTTTATATCGCATTCCACATGGTCGGGGTCACCAAGTATCCTTCCCTTGTAAGTTCCGTCCCCTCTTTCTTAGGAAAGCTATTCGGGTTTGTCGAATACCTTAATTCGAAATCTTCTGTAAACCTTCATTCGCTATGCTCGATGATCTCAAGAGTAAAAATATCGAGTTTGCTATTTATGGAGACAGAGCCTGATTGTGAATATACCAACGCACACAGATGGAGATTAATTAGCTTGGCATGCGTGCTTCCGTTATTTGCGCCACAGTGAGCTAGTCTTCGTTGCATTTCCATGGCTACTTTAGTATCGGAATCCCTTCGAAAGCAGCGTCACCGTCCTGAAAAGATCTTCTTAACAAGATCTTGTTCCTGTTTCCAAACTTCGACTAATGAGTACAAATCGATAGATTTCTTCACGATTTTACTCCCGTTATTGCAACCAAGGACATTTTCATTTCCAGTAATTCAATGCAATAAACTTACATCATTAGTTCTCAACTTTCAAAGAAAAACAGTTCAATGTATTCAACCTACATATTGCGAAGTAGTGATGTAAGTGCTCACGTAGCTGTTAGAATAAAAATGTCCTCAAAAGTGCATATAAACTTCCACAAGGTAATTTTCCAGATTTGTTTTGTGAGTTGAAAATGGAATCAATATCCAATTGACAGAACTCGCTTGTGAACCGCTTTTTTCCTTTTTTTGCTTTGCCTGGCTTATGATACCCAGTCTGTAACGACCGACCGACCGATCAATGCTTGCTTGTGCAAAAAACATTTTTGTGAGCAAGACCTATGAATATTGTTTGCTCCTTTCTGAGAAAAGACTCATTGTCAATGATAGAAGAAGAACTACAACTACCTCATCGTTGATGCGAACATAAGAACTGATGGATGATAGTAACTCAAACGACTGAAAGGTATTTCATTTGCATTTGAGAAAGCAGACTGTATTAAGTAATGTGTACTAGGAATGTGAAGAATTGATTATACTGACTCCAAGCTACTAGGTGCCATCAACCAAAGTAATCTTTGATCCATTCCATCCTCTTACAAGGATCTTGATCTTCTCATTCTCAAATTCTTCTTCTTCTTCTTACATTCTTATTCTTGTTAGTCACATGGTATGTCCGTTGCCAGTTTTCTTCTTTGTGAATTTTTTAGCACATTCTGGGCCATTCTTCGCGTTGAGTTTGGTCATGCTTTTAAAACTTGGGAAAATCATCTTTTTTGTATTTTACACAAGAGCAAGAGGATAATAGCCTTTTGAGAGTCTCTGCTATTTTGTTCAAAACCAAGTTTTAATATCAGAGAATCACATCTGTTTCCACTGTCTAGTTAAACACGTCCTTTAAAAACAGAGTAATAAAGCGATCTGGAATGATCAAAATTGCTTGTTAAACCTCTAAGCTAAATCTGTGAAAGACTAGTACGCAATTAGTAGCTTTTCTTTGTTAACTAGAATGCTTCGGCCCCTACAGTGGGTTGAAGGATTCAAATTCATCACCCATTAAGGTAGGGAAAACATGTACGAGTCTGACTCAGGATAGGACAGTCTCGCTATACGAGAATCCTCGTATAGCGTCCTTCCGGTACTGAAATACTAGATGTGTCAAAAAACCTCCTCTCAGATATTTTTTACTCTTTCTTAATGGGCAAAGATGAAAGCGCACTTGAAACAACTTCTATCCCTGTCAAGCAATCGGGTGCTGGAGTCTGGGAAGTGTTGCATGTGTCCACTGTCCCAAGCCAACAAAAATTCAGTCATTTCAAAATTTTCCCGCAAATTTCTTTGAGAAGTTCCGATAGTGCATTTTTTTAAGCTAGAATCATGTGTAAACTATCACAGACATCCTTTTCATTACTGAAATGGAAGGTCAACGCACATCAGCAAACGCTTCATCGGTATATGCTCGCACATACTCTTTTGTAGCATAGTTGAAACCGGAATCTTCTGATTTTCAAGTAAGTTATTTTTTGAGGCAAAACAGTCCATGAAACACTACTAAAAATTTTTCTCTGGGGTCACAGCCCCAAAAAACATTAAGGAGCTAACTCGTCCAAACATTTGCATGTTTTCCATACATCGACGCCGTCACCAGTGAATTCTTCCGTCTCTCGTCTGCTGTTATCGATTTTTCGTGGAAGGCCTGGCTGAGAGAGGAGCTATGCGGGAGGGAGAGGAGGCTATTATGGACAGCCTTGCTGTGGTCATATAATTCCGCTGGCAGCGTGCCAAATCGATTGGCTTACTTACTCAGGGCTAAGATATATACCCTGGCTGCTGTATTTCTTGTTTTTTTTCGTGTTTGATGCTTACGATTTCTCGCCAAAAATCCCGTTTCAACCATAGGTTTTGTACAAATTTTCTTGTCCCTTCGCTATTTTTCGACGATCCAACAGACTTTGCGTTTTACTTCGTTACAATTGCTGGGTTATTTATCTTTCAACAGCTATGAAGGAGTCTCTTTTTCATATTTATTTGCAACACCTGTGTGTTAATGGACAAATGATATCAGGTTTTAATACCTCTTCTATAGGTTCTCGTTTGCACTTCTGTGATTTTTTTTTAGTTTTTCGGAATAATTTTCTAATCATTACATGGTCAAAGTCCAGCATTGTTTACTAGTTTGTTATCATGTCTTATCAGACTTAAATTCCACAATTTATCTTTATTGGTACGCCTTTGACGTTGAGAAATTTTGGTTGAAGGGCGCAATTGTAGAATATTGGATCTCTCACATTTTAGGTTAATCTCCATTCTCTACCGTTGTTTGCTTCTTACTCCGCATTATTCATCCATTGTTATGTTTGTACGAACGTATTTATATAGGCCTCGATTATTTGTGCATATTCGTTCACTTACATGTATGCACTCTTTGCATTCAGCAATCCATATTGCACATTCTAGTGTGAACTATTTGAATTTTGTAGAAATTTCAGGTTGTTAAGAAAGTTCTGCCAATTCTTCTCTTAATTACCTAAAAGAATGCGAAGGCAAGGGTCTGGTTTGAAATGTGCCCTTGGTGTGCGATACCCTTAGCTATTGAATACGCTATTTAGCTTGAAAACTAGGAAAGAAACACACAAAAAAGGAGGAAAATCCGTGGCTCTCAGTACGCGAAAAGGCACATTTCTCCATCATAGACGCGCAGAACTTGCAAAAGCTTGAATTGGAAATCCGATTTATACCCTTATTGGCTAGGTGGAGCGATATCCAAGTGCCTCCGGTATCTTTAGTCCAAGCAAGAAGTAGCTCATTGATTTAAAGGTTCAAAAATCTTTTTTTCTCCTTACCTGGTTCGGAAAGCAGCCAGCATTCTTCTTGGAAAAGAGCATACATGATGCACTAACCAGTAGTCCAGGACTGTCAGTACACTTGACCAAGATATCGTTGATTGACAACCACTTATGATGAAGATATAAATAGAAATTTAGCACAACCTCCATAGGTAGAACTTTCTTTACAACTTAATATGTTCATAAAATGTCTTCCGGGAATAAATTCTTCACATTTCCTATATAATCAAGCCTTCAACTGGACTTCAGTTCTTGCTGTACAAAAGCTTGTTGACTCCATCGCTCACGTCACGTTAATGAAAAAAATTTGCTTGCACATGAGCAAAATGATCACTGAACTACGCCGAACAAATGGGATTAGTGCACAGCCGGTGGTTCCACTCAACCTAGTTTTTTCTTAGGCCCGTATGCACGTACATCCCCGCGGGGAGGGGAGGGGATCTGAGAGGGGAAGCGTCATATCTCGCTAGTCTATGTATCTTTCTTCTTCTTTCTCTGTCTTGGTTTTGAAGGTTTTCATACACTGATACTTGCGCATAACGGATACCAGGTTACTGCCATACAAGATTAGATATTCACTATTCCGTCTGATCCCCTGGGGATCCCCAGGGGATCGGAAGAAAAAGTGAATATTTAATCTTGTATAGCAGTAACCTGGCATCTATTATGCGCAGGTATAAGGGTATGAGAACCCTCATAAGCACGATAGAGAAAAAAGAAAAAAGATATCTAGAGCAGTGAGATATGGCGCTTCCCCTCTCAGATCCCCTCCCCTCCCCGCGGGGATGTACGTGCATACGGGCCTTAGCCATTTCTTCACCTGTCTGCTTCTATCAATCATTTGATAAATAGTACTGACGATGAGCTTTTTTTTTCTTTCTGAGCCCACTAATCTCTAACAGAACTTTCCTCTCCTCATTCATTCCATTTCTTTCATGCATTTCACATTAGGCTTCCTTGTCTTCGCATCATCTGGAAGCCATCTTGAAAACGATGTGGCTCCTTTGCATGTATCTGAATATCTCGTGCAAAAATGCATGCAGTTTCATGGCTTCACAATAAATTGCCAATCTTAGCTGCATGACAACGTGCAACGGATTAGATTCCTGTGCTGCGTCTACCTTCGAGAATCAAAAAATCATTCTAAGTATAATCCTCATATTTGTCCGAATCATGGTTTGATTATCCGTACTTAGTTTTGCTGACGATAAGATGAGTTTGCATACTCGATATGTCAAAATTTTCGCAAATCCAAAGATTGCATAGATAGCAAAGTCAGTTTGTTTTATCCAGTAAAAAAATTTGCGTTGTACTTGATATCGTTGAATTTTCTATCTGCGACTCTTCAGAATCTCTGCTAATTAGTGAAGTGTAAACAGGCAATTTTGTTTCTGATGTGGCTTCAACTGTATCTTCGAATAGAACACAATATCATCTTTGGATCATGAATATTTATTATATTTTACACAAATGTAATATGGGAAGAGGAATTATAATTTACCATCTTAGTGTGTCCATTTTTCGCGGGGTGCTGTCTCCTGTTGGATCATTGTTGTCTGTGATGGCAACAACGCAGATAAGTACTCTGAAAATTATTTTTTTTCAAGCTGACTAAGCACCAGTAGCAAAAAAAGTGCAACATGTAATGCGAACCGGTTTTTGAGGCTGTCCCATGAAAAACAAAATCACAGCCGTACGTACGAAGATTTGAGGTGTTTTTGCTTTGCTGCCGCTCACTGATCGCTACTACTGCTAAAAAAATTATTTGTATCGACTAACAACAAGTTTTTTAATTACTCATGATAATCATCTACTCACGTACGTGAAAATTCACTTTGTTACTCTATATTTTTTCTTTCTTGCTTTTAAACGAGTTTAGTGCGGTACTTTTTGCAAATATATCCATCCAGTTTATAAAAAATAAACTGAGAAAGATAGGTTCTGTTCGAGTGATGTTCTAAATATTAGATCACTCATTTGGCTCATTTACACTGTCACCTTCGTATGTATCATATTTATATATTTTTATTTTATTTTATTTTATCTTCTACTATATTTGACCATTATTTTTGGAATTTTTTTTCATTGAATCTGCATGTTTCTAGTTATGCTGCTGCTGAGAACTGTTGTATCTCCTCCTCCAACACTCTTTCTTTGCACTTACTCTACATTTGTCTCTTTTTGGTGTATATTGCATGATTTATGAGATTGTTTCGCGTGATGGAAAATCTTCAATGCACGCATTTTATCGTTACCACGAAATTATCGTTACCACGCATAAATTCCAGAATTTCGTTCTTTCTGTAATCGTTAAATGTTTCGGTCATGCTCAGCGCAACATCAGTCTGCCTTTTTTGAAGCATATGGACTAATGTGAAAAGACAATTCCACTTAAAATAATGATTTCATCATTGAAATCTTGCAAATTTCTGCAAGGACATGTTCTTACTTTTCTTTGAAATCGTTTCGCCCAAGACCGACAGATCTCCATTTTGAATGTCCACGATCAACAAGTGTTCATTCTTTGCACATTGTTTTCAATTCTTTGCTCTTTCAGATCATGGGGATTTTTTCAGTATAGGTTTTCCCCTTATTTGGTGAAGGCAGTAATTGATTCTCGGCCCAAGAAAAATAAAGGTGGTTAGGACACAACCATAACTGAAACAAAAACAAAACCAAGATTATAGTGCAATTATTGAGTTGATAATGAAGCTTGGCCCACTATGAGGAAGGTTTACTTTACTTTACTCCACGATGCAGTAAACTCCTGACACGAAAAACTCGATCTATCCAATGTTCTAATGACACTAGTATGCATCTTTCTATGAAAGCCTAAAAATGTGCTTTGTTCACAGTCCATCACGTTCATCATGAAACATTAACGCTGAAATTCCTTCTGAACAGGACATTTCCTTAGTGGAAATTTAGTGAGTGTTTATTAAGGCAATTCCATGCTTTTCTTGCATCAGCTACGTATACATTCTATATCGACATGTGACGCAAAGTATCATTTTCTGATCCGATGCTTTTGAATTCTTTCTAGCCCTTTACATAGGCTAATTGCGTTGTTTGAAAGTATGTATGTTGTTTTGATGCAAAAATAACGGTTTTTCTCCCCAAAACGATTAAGCTTTCATCTTCGATTTGTGGTGTGTGGTGTCCATGTTTGGGCCTTTACGAGTAGGGGATATGCGCACACGAAAGCAATGACCGGATTTTTCCAGTATTAGGGTGTTGTCGCTGTTGCTTTATCGCGAGATCCAGAAGGAAAAAAATTGGGTAGAGGGGAATTAGATTGATTTCTCAAAAGGCTCCTTCTCATCGAATTACAGCATCATCTAAGTGAGAAGCCTAACGATCTAGCATGCTCAGTTTTGACTGAATAATGCTCGGCAAGAAACTTTCTCTGACGTAAATCAGCTTTGAATTTTTTGCGAATGTTTCAGAAGCGATTAACACCACCTGCCTCGGTTCCTTTATAAAGCACTCCTTATCATGTTTCAATCGTAATAATCTCACACCAAGTTCGAAGTATGTACTCATGTTCGCCGATTGAATTTTCCGCTATATTGTACATGTGTACTGAAGTATGTACATCTCGAAGGGAAATTTGTATCGGAATACACTATGTCAAATTAATAAGGGAATCCTTTTCTTGGATTGACGGATAATTTCTGTGATTTAAAAAATTTGAAAACTATTTCTGAGCTTCCGTATCTCCTATAAGAAACACATATACAGAGAATAAGAATTATAGAAATTTTCAAAAAATTGTTCACTCGTTTAGAGGCTAGAGGTATATTTGGCGCAAATGTAATAATATCTTTTGAGAATTTAAGGAGAAACATAAGGCGATGCAGATAAAACCTAAAATCTGAGAATTGTAGGTAGCTTTCTAGAAGTAAAAAGGAGTGCGAATTATTCGTGATCCCCAAAAAGGATCGTAGCAACTTGCAAAACCTTTTCTTGCTTTTATAAAGCATCTTTCTTGTCCCTTTCTGAGCCTTATGCGTCACCGATTTCCGTTCACATCAACAAATCTGATGACTCAAGCGCAAATTTGTTCAACGGATTATTTTCACTTTATCACTCCTCCGTTTTGCGCAAATAGATGTAGTTCGTTCTGTTCTGTGTGCTACTCTAACTTATATGATTTCAGATCGGCTGACGCATATCTAACCAGTCGTATGCTCGTCAAAGCTGACATGTAGCTGGCTTGGCCATAATAGGACAAAACACTAGTTGGTAAGTATTGTTAGAGTTTTTATGGGCTGTTCTTCTTCTGCCAGATTTCTTAGCGCATATCTCTTATTTTTCCTATCTGTTTGCATAATATGATCGTCTCAAAAATATTGTATTTATTTCTTGTGCTAAAAATCCCATTCGCGCTTGCCAGAAACTAGAAGACACCATCTTTTTCTTTTTCTGGGTCTGCAGCAACTGTGACGCTCGTTGCAGCTGTGAGCAATGCATTTTGGATGGAACCTGGTTCTTTAGTGGGAAACTCGCGTTCATGAGAGAATTTCGGGAGAGGGGGGGGGGGATTCAGTTCAAACATACCAATTTTTACCTTTTGAACAGAGAGAACATTTACGTCAAATACGGATATTTCAGCTTACTAATATGATTAGTTCAATACAAAGCTGAAATGTATTTGTTTTATTCCCACTTTATCTATCCAAGAATGCGCTTCTTGCTCGCAATCAAATATGTGATTAATGTTTATTGAATGAGGTTTCCCAAAATAAACTCGCTTTTTGATGCATTTTTTTCTTTTTCTTTTTTCTTATATAGTTGGAAATCGCGGCTGGGCGTTCTTTGCTGTTGAAAAATTATTTGAACTTCTTTTTCTTTTGATCTCCTTGCTCCATTCTGTCCTCTTCTCATTTTACTACCTTTCTTGATGTTCCGAAAATCTTGTGATATTTTCAAAAATTCAAAAAGATAGACCGCGTATTTTGATGCTTGCTGATACAAAAGAAACTCCGCTTGACTTAGTTGCGACATGCACTCATTGCTCTACGGCTCAAAATAAGTTGGGGAATGAATGTGAATGGAAATGTGAAGGAATGTTTGCCCATTTGATGTTGGTTTTGGAGAGTGCAAATCCGACAGCAAGAAAGTGGATTTCCTCATTGTTAATTTGATCAAGGGTATGAAGCAGAAAATTTTAAAGTGGTTTGTTTCTGAAAGCTCGAAACCTCATTCATAAAAAAACGCGAGTATTATATCAAGCCACTATTTTCTGCTATTCCATTCCGTGCAAATCGCATTTTTGCCGTTCCATTTCGTGTCGAATGGGGCTCAGCCGGCATTTCTTTTACGACGGGTCCAGCCATGAACGCTTTCGCAAGTGCGGCGTTTTTGCAAGCGTTTCTGACATTAGGCGAAAGCCGAGACAAGCTCATTCGTCCTCTGCAACCAGCGATCGTGTCTGCTCTATTCTGCATGCAGCGAGGAGGTAAAAGAAATTCGCGTTTGACTTTTTTCTGTTAAATGGAAGATTTATTAGTCCCTTATAGAATTGTTGTCTTTTTCGCCTTTTCAAGTTAAATTCGATAATTTTCGAAGAATCGCTATGAATTTTACACCAAAATTTTTGAGAATTTGTTTTTTCTTGTTTCGCTATAAGGAAACCGTTGTCCTTTTGCTATGTAGATCATTCCCTCTTTTAAGGCAATATACTTTAGAGAGAAAAAAAGATACTTATACCTAACAAAAACTCTGATATGCTTTGTAAAATAGAACATTTCTACGCTTTAAAATCAAAACCTATCCTGAACATTTTAGGAAACATTTTTTTTGGTAATTTGGTAAAGACTTAAGGACCAACATAATACATGTATGTACTCATGTAATCTTAAATGGCTATGGTGTATAATTGCTTGTATGGGAGAATGGTCACGAGCTGAGTTGGCCCTTTTTCAACCATTTTTTCCTCGAAGGCGCTAATTTCTCACAGCAGGTGTGTGTAGAAGTATTTGCCTTGTTCATTTACGTACGATTAGTAAGAGGCTTGTAATTTCTGACGCTATATCGGGTTATTTTTCGTATAAGATATTTGCGGGAATTACGGTGGACTAACGAATTGCATGTTTTTTGGAGTCTTCATATCTCACAGTTCGAGATCATTCCATATGTCTCAGAATAAAACTGAGGGTCGTACTTACTTTAAAAGTGATTATTTTGATTTTCTAACTAATAGATTGCTCTAATCCTATTAGCCATCTATAGTATTGACTTTTGATTCGAACTTCTTCTTAACGAAGATTTGGCAGGGTAGTATCTGATCTGATATCTGATATGATTTACAGCTGCTAATGTATATATTGTTTTTGTAAAATCCCTAATCTGTCCTTTCCAAGTTTTTTTCCACAATCTCCGTTTCTTTTTCGCTTTGTTCGTTTCACTTACATTTCCTGCTACTATGGTCCAGGCAATCGCTTTTCAACATAACCTTTGATTCAAGTGGATTGGCAGCTGGGAGGCGGGGCTTTGTGACCTAATTAAGGTCGCCGCGCCTGCGACACAGTCTGCGTCTCTCTCGTGCACGTGCTGTATAATCACCTCCTAGCCTTAACTAGGTCACTAAGCCCCCTTGTAGCCGCAGTCTGGTCGAATCAAAGAATATAGAGGCTCTGATTTTCATCTGCACGGATTCCTGAGAGGTGAAAAAAGTGATTTAAGCTCATATCGAGTGTTCAAAATTTGGAATCAGCATGGGCAGAGTAGTCTATATATACGGAAGCTGACACAGCGGCAATAGAGTCGAAAGATTCAAACCATTGCAACTTTTTGTTATTGCGAACCAAGCCATCAGTGATTACTTTTTAGCCATTCTCTAGTGAACTGCGGCACATTCTCTCCAATCTCCTAGTTTGTGGGCTACCTGAAATCTCAATACCTGTCATAACTCATAGCCAAGTTGAGAAAATTGTACCAACTAATTTTCCTTCTCACTGACTGCTGCGTGTTTTTTGTTCATCAGGTATGTCGGGCGTAATCGGTCGTGCTATAGCTTACTCAAGCTAAAAACACAATTCACCATCGATGTCGCGTCATTCTAATAGAGCACGGAAACGACCGCACTAGGCTCGGCAATTCGGCTTCCTAGTCCCAGCAACGGTTGCTAGTACGAATGTCGGTCATAAAATGCGTGAAATTAGCCCTTTCCAGTTCGCTTGTGGTCTTATCGGTTCTGAGCAAATTTGTTGTAATTTTTTCATGAGCCACAGGTGTCGAAGTTATCTTCATCTCTAAGTAAAAAGTTTTCTGGAAGAAGAGATACCCTTCCTTTCACTTATATGCTCTTTCGCAAGTCGTGCATCAATTTCCTCTTGCTTGCAGAGGAGACAGCTTTCCAGTCCAAAAAAGGGCAAGACTTATTGGAGTCTTCGTTGCTAGGTGCTGGCTTTCGTAACCCCTTCTAGAAACAGAGAAAAACAAATTTCTAGTCACATAGGAACCAGTAGTTCAGCGGTTTCTAGATGACATCATATCAAATTTGTTGACGATGGTCTAGCTGCTTGGATTTCGATGTGGTTTCTGCTTCTTGGGCAAAGTGGCATTTTCTTATTTGCCTATTTGATGCCGGGGAAGAATTCAAGAATATTTGTTAGGAGATTCACATAGTTCGAGTTGTTTTCTGAGCTTGGAAGTTTGATGCTCAATTTTGTCAGTTTTAATGCCTAAATTTTTTCTAATGATTGATCTCGGAGAGTTTTTTCTCGTACACATGATCATCTTCATTCCTCCATTTTTCGTTGATTTGCTAATCATATCCGTTCGCAAAATCAAATAAAGCCATTCAATGTTTCACTAACACCATATATGAAGTTAGCACGCAGACAAGAGCCGATGAAATTTTTTTATTTTGACATCTGAAGAATTCGCCCTGAATCATCTTATTTTATTGATTATTTGGCTGCTAATTTAGACATGCCACATATTGGCGAAATGTCGCTGGAAATTTGTTCCGAAATCTGCAAAAAAATCAATTCTTGTTCTTGCAGCACTTATCTTTTCACAATAAAAAATACATTAATTCTTGTTTGCGGTTTAGTTGAAACATTTTAAGCATCTGCTACAGCACCAAACATGTATGTTTCTTTTTCTTTGAAGTTGTATCTCATTATACTCGGAACGTTTTTGTCCACTATCAAAGCCTTCAAACCAGCTATAGGTTTTATTTCTTCTAAAAACTGCTATGTAACTACAAGTGAAACATGAAAAGTCACGTTGTTTCTTAGGAAATTGTAAGAACTTAGCACGCATTTCATCATGCTATGAAACTATTTTCTTGGGAAAAAACGCCGAGTTTCTGCATGCACGGTGTATCGCCATGAATTAGGCATTACCCCGTTTTTTTTCGGAAAATATTATCGCAATTTACGACGGAAACAAATGGCCACCATCAAATAGCGGTCAGCGGCTGCTGCCACATTACTACGCGGGGGTGAAGCGCTACGTTTTTGACCCGAGACACTCGTTTCTTGCTTTATCCAACTCATTTGTTCACTACTACTGATTGACTAATTCTCATTTCCCAATCCTAGAAATCATATGTACATTAACTTTTTTTTGTCAGTTTATCGCTTCGTCACGCTTCATTCACTCATAATAGATATATTTTTGTTAATTTATCTGCTTAAAACGCTTTATATATTCATAACCTTCTACTTTATGCCCTCATAACCTTCAACAATATCTCAGTCTTCATTTTTTGTCATTTCTTGATCTTTCTATTGTTTCTATCACTTAATTTGCCATAAAACTTGCATTTAATTGTCTGTCTCAAAGTTGCAGTTCACTTTCAATCTATCTCAAATCCACTTGCTGATATGAAACCCTTAGACCGACCTTTACACCTTTTTTCTTCCCATATTGAAGCCACTTATCTATTTTGATCATCTATTTATCCGCCCCCTCCCCTCCTTCTGATTTCTTTTATTCCAGTCATGCATGCTCTGTAGCACATTTCTGCAGCACCAACCTTCTATTTTCTAGCAGATTGATCCTAATGAAAATAAGTCTTATTCCACGCTCTGAATTCTCGCATCTTGACAGTATCGTTTGTTCTTCCATCCATCAAAATTTGAATTAAAAAAATTGTTATAAATAGGCGCAAGAAAACAGATCTACTGAGTAAACAGTGCTCAATCAATGATTAAGAAGCCCTTAAATTTACGAAATTGTCTTATGCCTATTAATCTTTCTAGAGACGAGAATGACGCATTTGGCATATGCTCGCAACAATCAGCAAATATCAAGGTTGACTAAGGCCTTTTTATTACCAATAAGCTATTTCCTTCCCATTAGGTTCCTGCAGTTTGTCACAGAGCGTAGATTAGATTTGTACTTTACTGGGGATATTCTAGGTTGGCTTCTCATTTGGCTTCACTCCAGCATCGTAGCATATGCAGGCCATCATTTAGTACAACAGATAATTGCTAGATCTTTCTTACAACCCGTAATCGGAAATAGAATAATCACTACTCTTATCACCTGTTTTCAGAAATTCGCTCGAACAACATGACGGCAGAAGAACGTCGTCCTCGAACTGGCAAGCAGGAATCAGTCCGAGTCGTTGTACGATGTCGTCCACTATCCGAAGTGGAAATAGGGCAAGGACATCAAGGGTAGGAGCTATAATTGGGGCTAGTTGTATGAGCCTTTTTTGGGCAATCAAGCTAATAAGCGTAAGCATTCGATATAGTGTGTTGCACGGCTGCGGTGTTTCTCATAGGAGGGAATTTTCAAAACCTGAGAAGAAGAACAAATTTTTCACCCTGATGTAGCATTATTCAGCGCAAGTTTAGCAATAGTATAGTTATTTCTTTTTTCTTATTAGAGGAAAGTCTCAAATGTGAGGACATAGGAAACGTTAGATAGTGTTTAAAGTTGCCTTTGGGTCGGCGCCGTGCCAGTGCCGTGCCAGCGCCGTGCAAAACTACGACGACGCTTTTTGTATGGAATGGTAGACGTACCCCACACGGCGATGGCACTCGCAACTCTTTAAGAGCCTCAGAATCATTCACAAATGAGCTTAGGAATCGATTTACACATCTGATAAATAAAGAATCGTAAGGCGCATTTGAAAATCACCAAGCGGGAAACCGAGCGGATCCTGAAGCGAACTCGCCCTCTATGTAGCACCTTTGTGATACGGGTTCACTAGTTGAGAAGAAAAAATTATTTATCTTCAGAATCGTGTCGATGTACCCCGATCGAGGCCTTGTTGAACTAAGAAACCCTAAAGATCTCCAAGAACCATCCAAAGATTTCACTTTTGATGCGATTTACAATGAGAGGTGAGCCTTCTATTCTGTCCATTTATAACCTAAGGTCGATAGCTTTTTTTCAGCTCGAAACAACTCGATCTCTACGATGAAACATTCCGCGATCTTGTCGATTCGGTACTTAACGGTTTTAATGGCACTATTTTTGCTTATGGACAAACGGGAACTGGAAAGACTTATACCATGGAAGGTTTGTTGGAATCTTTCCGAGGAAACATCAACCTTTGAGAGTAATATTTTTTCAAGGAAAACCCTCGATAGCGGAAGAACGGGGAGTGATCTACAATTGTTTTGAGCATATTTTCCAACACATTGCACAGTCTCGTAACCAGCAATACCTAGTCAGAGCTAGTTATTTGGAGATATACCAAGTACTTTTGCGTGTAATTTTTTCACAAATATTTTGTAGAACATGTATCTCTAGGAAGAACTTCGTGATCTCCTTAGCAAAGACGACAAAGTGAAATTGGAGCTGAAGGAGAAACCCGATGTCGGTGTTTACGTTAAAGATCTCACCACGTTCCTGACGAAATCCGTCGAAGAAATTCAACGAGTAATGGCTGTAGGGAATGCAAATCGATCTGTAGGGTAGGCAGACGGACCATCTCATTCAAAACATTTTTTCCGTAATTGTTCTAATTTAGGCGAACTAATATGAATGAACACTCCAGTCGATCTCATGCCATATTTATCATTACAGTAGAATGCAGTGAAATGGGGGAAGATGGCGAGAATCATATACGGTAGGAAACAATACGGGTATTCCACTGAGGATCAAGAACGATAAAAAATAATTTTCTAGGGTTGGACGTTTGAACCTTGTCGATCTGGCTGGTAGTGAAAGACAAGCGAAAACTGGTGCTACTGGCGAGAGATTCAAGGTAAGTTCATTTTGGCTGCAAAAATTGTTACGAGTCATAATTTTTTTCTAGGAAGCTACAAAAATCAACTTATCATTATCGGCACTTGGAAATGTGATCTCAGCTTTGGTAGATGGTAAAAGCACTCACATACCTTATCGAGATAGCAAACTTACAAGATTATTGCAAGGTAAAGAAATTCATAGTCTTGTTGGATGCTCTAAAATGTGCTTTAGATTCACTTGGAGGAAATTCTAAGACGGTGATGGTGGCATGCATAGGGCCAGCTTCGTATAATTATGAAGAGACGTTGGGTAAGAGACCTTTTTGTCGATTTTTTTAATCATTCATTCAGTTTTTGCTGAAGTCCAAAAAAATTTTTATACATCCCCTCGCTTTTTCCTTGTTAAAGTAAACCTATACCAGACGAAAAATCATACAATCACAAACTATTTTAATAATCGCACAAATTTTTTAATATTGTGGTCCTCCCGCCTCACTCATACTTTAATTTTCAGGTACTCTTCGTTACGCCAACAGAGCGAAAAACATCAAAAATAAACCAAAAATCAACGAAGACCCCAAGGATGCCATGTTGCGAGAGTTCCAGGTAAGAAAAGAGATCGAAGCATTCCTTCTTGGGTTATTATGTGAGTGGCGGGTCGAGGAGGGAAGGCGATGGCAGGTCCCGCCAAAAATGGATCTCAAGATTTTGAGTTGTCTATACAGATTATAAAATTGTGCAAATGACTTGTTTCAGCTTGTAACGATGGGGTAATTTTTCTTATTCTGTGAGAACTCCAATTAGCTCTGCAAACAAATTTCAATGGTTGTCGCTGCCAACATATACCCATCCTTCCTGGAAAAAAATCGGGAAAGCATATTATGAAAATTTTGCAGAGCGCCGTTGTCCCATGTTCGTTGCTCTGACGAAATCCTTTATTCCCAGTCCTTCTTCAAAAAAATTGAATTCGCCATTGATTCTCGAATTGAGTATCTGAAACAAAAATGTAACACGGCCAAAGTTCTCGGGTACATCTTTTCATATTCAACAGTTCCAAAAATAACTGCGAAGCAATTATGGCTTAAAATTTTCCTTCTCATGCAGTTGATTATTTTCCGCTTTTCCAGGATGAAATCCAACGATTACGTGCATTGCTGGAGCAACGTTCGCGTCGAAAAGGTCGAGGTGGTAAGTGGTTGTTTGAACTGAGTACATTATCAGCACTTCTGCTTGACAAGAGTCATTTAACTTTGATTTTTTTCTTCTTCAGGAATGGACGAGTCTCGAGGTGAGGAATACTTCCGAGAGCAACACTTGAAGTTGGCTGCTGACAGGGAACATGCTATGCGTGATGAATCGCTTATCTTGGAAGTAAGTCGTGTAAACCAGAAGTTTTCGGAAAGTTATGAATGATGAATGAGTGGACGGCAACTTTGGAAAAAAAAATACAGGACAGAATTTGAAATTTTTTCAACCCCCCCCCCCAAAAAAAAAATTTCTTATGTGCTATAATCTACATGTTAGGTTGGTGAGCCTTGCATTGAAAAATATTATGAAATTTCTTCTGAAAATTATAAGATTAGGTCAGTTTGAACGTTTTAACTTGTCGTCTACGACAAATGTTCTATAATACCTCTGAAAGAATCAGAAGAGAGAATCAAGAATTAAAAGGTGCTCATAGAAACCGTCAATCACCATAATTTTTTCATCGATGTAAATGTTAAGTCATGAAATCAAGGCCGTAAATAAATTTATATTTATTTAGACCATTTAGTTCAACGAGCGTTTAAGAAAGTACAATTTCAGTGTTTCCCATCCCCAGCTTGTATGGTCGTGATATGTCTGTGAAGATCTTTTAGACCACACCTAAAAGGTGTATGAATTTTCTCTCAAAACATGTAGATTTTGTCGCGGATGGAAAGTTACTCGTTTGAAACGTCTTAGTGCATAACCATATAAACATAATCCTTATTTTGAAGTATCAGGTTTTCCTTGTTTTCCCTGATCATGGACTTATAGGAGCGAAAACGCATCATCGCGGATTTGGAAGAACGTCAACGGCAGTTAGAGCGGGAACAAGCAGCTCAAAGAGAAGTCGCAGAGACAATAGCGAAGATGGAAAGCAAATTATTGGGTGGCACGGATCTTCTGGATCATACAAAGCAGCAAGAAGTTGAGCTAGCGAATCGACGGCGTGAGCTGGCTGAGCAAAAGGTGGGCAAGATTTTCTGGTTTAGGAGAACCTGCTTAGGGAATTAAACTGAAAAATCTTTGTTACATCAAGTTATCTGGATTTTTCCGTGGGTAAACCATCTTCTGGTCTACCTAACCGGTGCCACATACTGATCTTTTTCATTGTTCATACTTTTTTTACAGAAGCGTGAACGCGAGATTTTGCAACAACTGGAGCGACAGGAAGACGACACTGCTGAGATACATCAGACCTACTCTAGCCTGCAGCAGGAAGTTGAAGCAAAGACCAGAAAACTTCGAAAACTGCATCTTAAGCTGCAAAAGGTGAGCAAACCAAAGTATAACAATGCTACCAAAATGATGGCTTCAAAATTTAGGCAAGAAATGAGTTACACGATTCAGCGCTGTTACATTCTCAAGAACGCCAAGATTTAGAGGGTTCTGTCACAGAAATCAACAAGGAGTTGAAGCTCAAGTAAGTGTTTGTGATTCATACTTCAAAAAATTTAAGACTAATGTCGAACGGTAAAGCAAGCAAGGGTTGTCTTCTTGTAGAAACACTGTACTAAAGTATAGGTAGAAGCAGCTGAAATAAGTCTCTTTATGGAACCCGTGTAGGTGTATGGTGTTGAATCATCAGAAAGAAAACTATTATTTTGAACCTTATGTCTACTGTGAATACTTTTTGAGATTATTGGCAGTGCTAAATTACGGTGAAATTCAAATCTTGAGATTTTGTACTATCACTTTGTTGGTTTGTATGATTGAAATGTTAGAAAATTTACACTTTCAAATACTACAAGGACAAAAGCTTATAATTACACTTTTTTGAGGTGTAATTTATTATACATAGTTATTAAATGGCTCAACCATTTAATATGAAACTCTTGGCATGGAACTGGCTCTTCTGCCTTCTCATCGTCTGAGCTGATTCGTTTTACATAAACCTGTGTTTCCAGTTATGGAATATGAAATGAGTAGGTAGAGCCATACATAGCAATCATCTGCGCTCAAATGGCCAACGATTTCTCGCTTTTCCGGCTTAGTCCTTGCTTTGCGCACTGCGCACCTACGCATAAGTAGAGCCACAAACAAATGCGTAGCCTTCCTTGTGCTCGTTCGCCTTTCTTTAGTCTCTTGACAAACTTCTCTGGGCTTGTGTGGGGTATAATCGGGTAATTTTCGTTGATAGTTCGATAGTTCGTGGCACCTGAAATGCGCACTATGAGCAATCTGTTGAGATTTATTTTTTGCATTGGAAGTAGAAGTTTGCATTGGAACTCTCTAATAATTGTGTTTGATGAAAATAGTAAGACTAGGAATTACAACCAGCAATAAGACTTCTGCGTGTTTCTTTGGCTGAGGGAGGATTGTATTAGGTTGTTGCAAAAATAATGTCCGCTTTGCAAAATTTCACTTTGAAAGGCTATACCTTTATTCAGTCTTTGTGTTTCTGAATGCAATCAAAACCATCTGAAGCAGTAAACCTTCCGTAACCTAATGCGCTCCTGCATTCACTGATATAGCAAACGGGAAAAAAATGCGGCAAGAAACCGAAAGCTTTTTTTGAAATCTTGTCTTTGAGAGATTACAACTCCCTTCAAGTTTTGTTTCTATGGCTGCTAATCAGCTTATTTTGTAGAAGCAAGCCAGTAGTGTACACTTGTTCAGAAAAGACGAAGAAGTTCTGCGAAAAGATTGAAATCCAAAACTTCACTTTTTGATCCTATTTGTGGAGGTCAGAAAGTCCCAACTATGGAAAATCAAAATTATTTGTACCTGAATAGCTAAGTTTCTCTGCAGAGATTGTGGGAAAGATGTCCTGACCTCAGGCATACAGAGATGAGCGAAGCTTCGGCTATTGCTCTAATTATGAGAAACTTTGGACCCATAGACAGCAGCGAGTATCCATGTCGGGGCGTCGTTTCTCGGTTCAAATATTTTCGGAAAATCTTCTTAAACATGCTATAGGTAGACAATGTTCAACCAATACAGTAGCTATGTTTTCAAAAAATTCGTTTATTTGACTGAATTGTGGTCAAACGAGTTGAAGCAACAAAGTCTCGATTTTGAATGCAGCTGTAGATGCTGGTGAAATTCTCACAGATGAGACAGAAGATTAATTTCACCACTGTTAGAAAGTACATTAAGAAATCTTTCCAATGATCTGCAGAATTTACTTCGAAAAAGAAATTTCAAAGGAAAAAAGTTGTTCGGAAAGTTGGCCTAGAAAAACGGACATTATTTTTGCAACAGCCTAATAATATTCTACAGTTCAGCTTTCAAAATCAATTTGTGTGTATACCCTAGCCTTTATTTGCAGTCTTGAATATTATTATTATTCTTACTGTAAGCGGTTGCTGTATGCGGCCAAGGTTACGATACGGTATATCCGCTCACAAAAATCTCCCCTTTCTGCTGCAATTGAGACTGGGCTGTCACCTATCTTGCGATCCGTCCTTCATGTCTTCTTTATCGTGACAGATCTTCTCATTGATGGCTCGACATTGGCACTCATTCTTCCTCGACCCCCGTTCCTATCCTCTCATCATACCTTTTTATATTTTATGACTGTGCAATCTTTGCTGTAGAAATGGGAAGGTTTTTGCAAGTAATAAAATTGTGCGACTGAATAGGAAAACCGCAGACATCACGTATTCCAACAAGCAATGTGGCGCTTGTCACTTTTGATTGTAATTTGCTAACGAAGAGTGACATCGAAGGGAGTCGTTGCTTCGTCTGAAAATTGCGCAGACCTTTCTTCTTTTACGTAATCTTGTGGAGCTCTTATTCTCCATGAATCAGCCTTAGCTTTTTTTTTTGAAACCTTGGAATTCGAAAATATAAAGTTGTAAAGAAAGTTCCCAGGCACTTTTGGAAACATCATTTTCAAACGCATTTTTTCGGCGCTCGGTCGGACTTTGACACCAAGTTTTTTATAAAATTCAGTAGAGGAAAGCCCAAACATTTCAAAAAAAGCTCCTAATTTTTACCGATGCCAAAACGTGTTCGTCCTTATTCTATTTCTATACTGCAGGCAGACGGTCAAAAAATTCATTTTTTTTTCTTAAATTTTAATTACTCAGGTGTACGTAGCCACTCCACTCCACATCTCTTATGACCTTGAGGCATCGCTGTTTTACGACGCAGACACCGCATGGAATACAGCCTCGGCAGCGCTCCGGTCTTAGTTGTCTGCTCATCGTCTGCCTACGTTCTCTTTCCGAGGTTTCGCGCCGCTGCAGCGCGTCGCGTTTCCGTGGTCTTGATAAAGTTCTGGATTCTGTAAAACGAAACTCGGAGATTTTTCCCATGCAAAGGTTTTGATCATTATCAGATTGCCAAAAAAAAATGATTTACGTTTTGAATCTTACGTTAGTTGCAAAATCATAGAACTTTGGGGTAGTGGTAGGGGCGTATTTCATCTCGATATCTTGAGATAAGCCTGCTTAAATAGGCTTGCGTAGGATGTATGCATAGATAAGCATAAAATCTGATAGGATGCGACCACGCTTTATTGACTTCTCTCTCAGTTTCTCAGAAATCCTACCTTCTATGGTTGTAGCATCTGTGAAAAAGGATACAATCCCTCCCTTTCCCTTCGGTTTACTTTGCAGTTTTGGAATTCTTTGACAGAAACAGTAGAGTAGCATGAATGTTACGGTCGACTATTCTCTGACGCCTGTCGCACTTCTTTGAGTTAGTGAGAATTTTTCTGCGTATTTCTGCGACACCTGTCACATTTCTTGCCCAAAACGTTTCTGACGAAAACGCCAGCAAATTTCGTCGCTCTTTGCAGTCGTAATTTTTCCGCTGTTCTCAGGCTAACACTCGCAAACCATTTCGAAAGCCTATGCACCTGCAACTGCATTTGACAGACGTTTTTGATCAAAGCGCTAGCGCAGTGTGTAATCCTATGCTTTATAGACGTGGAAAGACTGAAACGCTGCTCATTCTGACCACTGCCTCTTCCTGTCATTGAAAGCTCTCTTTTTGAGTAGTGCCTGAAGCTTGCATGTGCCGCGCTCCTTAGAATTTATAAATCTTTGTTGCAAATTAGTTTTTGAAAAATGAGTGAATTGCCGATATTATGTGCTGAGAATCCAATTACTATGCTTCGTTCCAAGGACCGGCATTTTCAAAAGGGTTGACAGCGCATGGTGTAACGGTGTACTTTATGCTTATAGTTAGAATTCTAATCTAAAGAATTATAAAGTGCATTCAAAAATCATGAGATAGCGAGAAACCGAGCGGGTCGAAGCGAGCGCGCCTGCAACTAGCACCTTTGAGATTAGTGGTTCACTAGTTAAAAACAAAAATCTCCTGCGATCTCTTACACTGTGAGCTGTCCTAACTATCCATATACCTCTTCAAAGTAGTATTTTTGTAGTAGAAAGACTTTGGGACTAGAGTTTTTTTCGGAGATGATTTCGAGGTGTGTCTTGGAAGTAAACATGGTCCCTGGTCCTTCCTCAGCCCCTGAAACTTTCTTGCGGCAATCGCACACTTTAATTGTCGTCCATTCTTGTCTTTCTGCTCCAGTGGAAATAACAAAATGAGTGAAAGCAAGTGCTTAGATGAATTATTCACGCATGGAATGAGAGCAACTACGAATATCTGGGTTGCTTTTGATCAAACGCCCTTCTATCACTCTCATCTGTGAGATCACGAACTCCACATTTCCTGAATAAAGTTCACTAATGAGTTTTCTCTGAAATTGGGCCTTTTTACAGATATTATAATCGAGTAGCTCCTTTTAATGTGTGGGTTGCCCGTTTTCCGGGATAGGCTTGACCGTGGAACTTAATTATTGTTTATTTTCCGCTTTTCCTTCTCCTTTTATAGACGCATATTTGTAGAGCGTAAGTGATTAGGTCTTATTTACTTACCTGGAAGACTTCCAATTAATCTCAACGAGAAAATCTGCAACCGCACGCACCGGGGAAGAAAATCACTCGACTGTAGGTGATCATCGAAAGAAGGCGAGCAGGTTGAGAAAACTTGAATTTTCAAGTCATTACATTACGAAACACTCGGGCTACTACCCCCAGAGCTGCGTATGGCAGCAACGCTATCGGCCATTACGGCCGCGTCCATCTTGGCGCTGGCACGGCTCTAACACGACACTGGCACGGTACTGGCTCACGGCAACGCTAGACGCAACCTTAGCTGTTCAAAATGAATAATTTCTGCAGACTTGCCGCTTTATGTTTTCTCCGTCGGTAGTTGCTTCTCCTTCACGATTTTCCTTAGTAAAATAAGGCAAATAGCTTGCTATGGTGGACGCAGCTTTATTGTCACTGGTATGATCATTAGGAAACATTTGCACTTTCTCCTTTCTCACTTTTAAAGGATTACAAAAAGGGGAGTTAGGCTTGAATGACGCTTTTACGGCATTTTTCGGAACACCTGTCTTTAACATGCTCACGTTTAACATCTGCGGCTGCTATCTTTTTTGTGTTTGACTCTATTGTGTTGGTTGTACTGCACGAAACAAGAAATAGTAATGTATTCGAGTCATTTTTCTTGAGAGCCATGCATTCTTTGCTAGTACACTTATCTCTTCTTTTAATTCTTGTGCAGCCGAAAAGAAAGGAGGAATATAGAGTTTCTTGTTTTAAGATGATAATTTATTTGATAGATTATATGCTTTTGACATCAATTCGTAATATAGTTAAGATATTTTTTGTATTTATTTTATACTGCCGCAGGGCAGCGATGCAGTTGCACACCACATTCTTAAGGCAACTCTTACAATCAGTGTAAAGAGATACAATACAATGCGTCAGTTTCCTCTCATGTAAGCTTAGTAGTTGGCTTGTACCAACATATGAACAATACTCTACTCAATAGTAGTACGATCGCTGTGCAATTATGCTGCGCACCTGATTAAATAGCCGCTGGATGAATGCGTTGTCACAGGCCTCAGTCCTGGTTTGGCTACCATTCACGCCCTATGAGTAGTACAGTTGGGAACCCTCTAGGCATCACGCTTCATCATTCCAGCTTTTTCATTCGCTCTACAGCTCACATTATGAACATCACACCATTTGATGATTGCTACATGAGGTGGTTACTGTCAGTTGATTCTTCGAAACTGATCTCACTAACAAGGAAAGGATACTTGGTGACCGTGGCCTTTTGAGATAAAACGTATACCATTGAAAGCATCTTGAAGCGCTGGTTCCAAATCTGCTTTCGGTATCTGCTGTGCGCTCTTCCGAAAGAAGTTATGAACATTTCTTGCCACCAAAATTTGCACTGTTTTGATGACAGGATTTACCAATAACGTTAAGATGTTCACTTAAGCACTGCAAAAACGCTTCCAAATAAAAGAAAGCTTCACTCTAAGCCCTGGAACACTGTCTCCGATATATAAGAGTCTAAAAAGCTTGAATATTGACGATTCTGACTGCTTAGATTTCGTGAAATTAATGTGGAAAAAAATCCATGACTTCGTTCAGGGAAACGCACAGCAGATAATGAACATAATCTGGAATCAGCGTTTCAAGGCGCATCTACTGCTCAATGCAAAAAGCCACGGTCACCAAGTATCCTTCCCTTGTATGTCCCGTCCGGAAAGATGCCACTGGTGTGTATACAATGGGTCGGTAGTTTGTATGATGTGGGCTTTTCTTTTCGGGCACTCATTCAAGCAGCCTACCTTTCGAGAAGACATGCTACGAACCAAGCATTTTAATGCACCTCAGTTCATACCGGTTGTTTAAGAAGTAGAGCCCGTCGACGACGTAACAGACGTCCTCTACCCTAATGCGTCGTGACTTACCGGGGTTGCAGCATTAATATGCAGATTTTTTTTTGTGAAGTAGGCTGTTCTAGATTCCTACACATTATATTACTCCAATAGGTTTGAGCTCTCAAATCTTGCCACTTTATATTGCGAAACGTGGATTTATTTATATAGTCTGGTAAATCTGAAATCTCATGCAGTGCTTCTCTATTGAACACTTGATATGTGTGCTTATTTTTGCAAGCAGGTGTTGGCGCTGAAGCATGGCAGTTTTTTGCGCGCAAGTGTTGTCGTCACCGCAGCGAAACTATATGAACGTTCAGAATTGCTACTCTTTTGGCTGTGCGGAATGACACTCAGTAACTCCCCTAGAAGTCTGGCTGTCTTTGAGATAACCATCTGGAACAGCGTATAAATGATTAACCATTTTGTGTTTGGACGAAAAAAAACTTGTTTGAATCTGTCATGTATTGGTTCACCTGAACTCTGGCCGTTACACTATAAATTTTCCATTTTCTCACCATTTATATCCGAATGTCTCTTTATTCAATTGCCATCCATTGAAGCCCACCGTGCACATTTCGTTTGCATGTGTTTCAAGATGGCAAAAATGAGCGGCCATCTGCGATCATGTTTCGCGTTGGTGAAATGGGCTTGTTTATTCAGCGTGAAGCTTCCATAATGGCGAGCGACGATCACTGAGAACGTTGTTGACACACAAAATGTCTGCTTTTCACGCGAAAACATCTAGGCTCCAGACGCCGGCTTATTATCGAATGCCTTTCATGTCCTAAGGTGTTGTTGCTTATGCTAGCTAAGCTTTTGTCTTTCAGGCTTCTGATAGTGGAGAATTTCATTCCACCCGAAGTTGCCAACAGAGTCCGTGAACGAGCCCAGTGGTTTGACGACGAACAACAGTGGCGGTTACCGGGCGCCAGGCCGCTGTCAGCCAGTCGACCGCCGACTGCACCGTTAGCCAATGTGTTATTGGGTTAGTCACAGTTCTTCTTCGTACTCTTGTTCAAAAAATTAACTGAGCACGGTTCTTCTTCGTACTCTTGTTCAAAAAATAAACTGAGGCAAATAGTGTTATGTTGATTTTACTTCTCGTAAAGCGCTAAATCCACTCCGCCCCAGCTTTAGGGCCGGGCATAAATCCCGCGATTCATCGACTCGCGATTCTCCCAACAAGACAGCTGTCACAGTCCGTTGCATGCCGGTCAATTTGCATTTCGGTCATGGTAGTTCTCAATGAACTTGTAACAGTTATTCATAAGCATCCATGTTCGACTATCCATGAATCTTGGCATAGTTGCAATCTTCTCGTTAATTGCTTGAGCGTAATCCAAGATTGGTACAGAGAACTTTATCGCACAGAATAACAGACTAACGTTTCGGCGAACTCGCCTTCTTCAGAGTCTGAAAAAGTCGAAGACACATAAGTAAACTATCCGATCAAACACCTCATCGACTACAGAAAAGAGCCCAACCCTTTGAGAAAAACAACAGCCTCAACCAAAACTAAGATTAAGCTAGTGCTCACCTTAGCAGATGAAAATTTGGTGGGTGCAGACCACTATGTCAAAAAGCTGTACTGCTTTACTTTTATAGTTGACTAGTGACCCGGTTCTGGGGTCAGGTCAGAACCGGGTCACTAGTTAACTATAAAAGTAAAGCAGTACAGCTTTTTGACATAGTGGTCTGCACCCACCAAATTTTCATCTGCTAAGGTGAGCACTAGCTTAATCTTAGTTTTGGTTGAGGCTGTTGTTTTTCTCAAAGGGTTGGGCTCTTTTCTGTAGTCGATGAGGTGTTTGATCGGATAGTTTACTTATGTGTCTTCGACTTTTTCAGACTCTGAAGAAGGCGAGTTCGCCGAAACGTTAGTCTGTTATTCTGTGCGATAAAGTTCTGTACCAATCTTGGATTACGCTCAAGCAATTAACGAGAAGATTGTAACAGTTGTTGTTGGAAAATCGCGAGGCCATGAAATCGCGTGATGTATGTCCGGCCTTTTTTCCGCGCTGCTCCTAGTCGCGCCGCCGCTGAATATGCAATTCAAGCATTGTCTGCGTCATATGTGTTTTGTCTCCCCCTTATATACTGCTGATGATATTTTCTTAGCTTCATTTTGCTTCTAAAATGTTTTTTTTGCAAATTATCCTATCAGAATAATCGGGTTTGCTTTTTTTGATTGCTGATATTCTACCCGTATGAATGGATCATTCGATCCAGAATTTCTCTCTATTAATTATCAAGCACTTACGGATCTATCACCTTCAAATTCCAGTGGATGGCCAGAATTTGCTAACACACTCGACAGCTGATTCTGGCGTGTGTAGTACCGACGCAAGCACTTCAGTCGAGCAGAACGATTATTTGGACAAGCGACCGGTTTGTGAGCTTCTTCCTTTCAAACTCTGCCCTTATAATCTGCACTTCGCATTTTTGGAGTCGCTGCTGCTTGTTTTTTGGACATTAAGTCATGAAATGTGCAAAAAGAGGATTCTCTTTCCTTTTATCATGTTTTCCGAACCAGTCAATTTTCCCATCATAAGTATCGCTATTGATGCGAATTGGGAATGCTTCTAGACCTGCCATGATTTTTTTTAATTCATATCAGGGAATCCGGTTTTTCGTTCTGTTTTCTTGTCAACTGCCAACAATTGTTTCTGTCGAGGGGAGAATAGACTATTTCCTATCATAGTTATCTTTATCCAGATACGGTTTGCGCAGGGTACCTCATATTATCTAGAGAGAGGACCCTACTAGTTTACACGCTGTTTTTATAATCTTGTATACATACATCACACACAGTGAATGGGTGGATATGGAGTGCCAATTAAGGTATCTACACCCGGCTTACGGCGGCCTATGTCCGCTTGGGAGCGGATGATGGTAGACCGAGCCAGAGAACAGATGAGTCGACAACGTCGACCACCAATAAACGGTGAGTTGTTAGTTTATATACAACTGCATGTCTCTGTCCGTTTATTAACTGGCAGCTCTGATGGAATTTTATTAGAATGTACCCTAAATTCTTGTAGATAAGTACGCCAAAAACTTGATTAGCACTGCAAATTTATTGTCTTTGCATAGGCATTTAGAAACACCAGGCTTGCGTGTAATAGTCGAAAGCATTTGAAGAGCTCCAACACGACACTTCACAGCACCGCTAAAGCGGCTCGTTTTCTTCGATCTTTAACTGCAATAAGGTCCAAGCATCGTCAATTTTTCTATCGTTCGAAAGCCGTTTTAGCGGTGCTGTGAAGTGCCGTGTTGGATAGCCAAGCAAGAATAATTCGAAAAGTGAATGTTAGTTGGTAAGTGCTACACCGCTGAAAGGAGCCCATCTAGCTCTTGACTGAACAGAAATGCCTCGTTAAGTTTTGTAAAAGATTTGAAATATCTAATTCAAAAAAGCAAGCTTATTCTCAAGACTTTTGGTTATTTTCTTATGTATTAGGTACTCTGTTTATCCTTCCCGCTTTAAGGATTATGAGGCCCTCTGCGGTCCTTAGTTTGCCAGATTTCAGTACTTCCTTGCAGGTTCATCTGCTATCGTCGAGGCCGTTCTGAACGAGGACCTCATACGGTTTTGTGGCGAGAATGTGCTTGTATTCTCTTCGCTCGAGCGACTCCAACCTAGGGTCAGCGACTATGATCCTACTAAAGTTACGGTGAGGACTCAATCTACCATTGATCGGCTTTTTTTCCGAATGCTGTCATCCTCAGAGCAAGTTTGATCTGCCAAAACGGCAAGAGGAGAAAAGTCTATTAATCGATGCATCGAAAGCCGCACCAAATTTGAAGAGCCGTCTTCGTTCCCCATCAACAGACATGAGGTACGTAGTAGTGGTTAACGTGGTTTCTGTTGTTGTTATATATCAGCTATGTGTTTTCTCTTTATTTCAATGCATTCGATGCATATTTATGTAGATTAGTTGCAGATCTCGCTCAAAAAACGGACTCGCCCGCAACGCGCTAGCCAAATCCATCAACGCCACCCCGTCCGCAGTGCTTTATCCAAAAGCTCGCGGTCTCGTCGGCAAATAGCACCGATTTTGGTCCCAAATGAATTACCTTATCTCGTCAAATTCACACCTCCTTTGTATTTCATCCCTAGTTCTGCACCCCAGCATATTAATGTGGTGGAAGCTTTTCGGACATGTGTAAAGGTACCTACAGCTCAGCTAGTTGGCTTACTGCCATGAGTATATGCGCTCAATTTTAGCCTAATGTTGACTGTCTCAATGTTCCTTGCACTTCATCTACTTCTACGTCATCCGAATCGGAAGGCATCTGCGCTGATTATCTCAGCAAGGTAAGTTCATGCTTTATCATCTTTTCTGTTCGCTTGAGCTCTTTTTTTTTTGAATTTGACACGAAACGGTGCTTTAGAACAGCAACTCTATGACGTCTTCTGCTTACGAGGATGAGCATATACCTCGTCGACTCAATGACTCTCTGTATAGGAATGTGATCAACATGGATCGTTCCGTGGACTTCTCGGATTACCCTGCCTACAGGTAAGCTACTTAGATGAGTAACTGACATTCTTATCTCATAAGTGCGCGAATCTCACTCTCACAGGCCATTCATTCATGTGATGGGATGCTTCATGAAGACCTCAAACTGGGGGATAAACTTTAGCTGCGGATTCTACGGTGCTTTCGTTGCTAAATTTCTAAATAATGTTTGAGTCCGAATCTCTCATTTTATAGTCGATTCTCGAAGTTGGGTAGAATTGGTTCTAGACGAAGTCACATATAGTAGCTTTTCTAAGATCTTTCTCCCATTCTTGTCGTTCAATATAGAACCGTACTGTTTTCCTTAGTCGCATTGTAACATATTTCAGTTCCGCTTCAAGAAGTCACATGGGATTCTCAGGCTACCTTGAGCCCCCAAGATCTACGCGAATTCCTACATTGATGTCAAGAAGCTTATCTGCTTCATGTGAAAGGTGCGTATAATTTGCTTGTGGCGTCTTCGCCCTCTTCGAAGCCTTTTCAAGCAGATCTGTGCACTTTAAAGGCAGTGTCCGGGCAAAAACTCGATTTTGAGATTTTGTGCTTATACGGGCCTATTCGCCATGCTGAATCCGAAAATCCACATTGGAAAGCGCGAAAACGGCGAAAAAGGGCTCTAAGACAAGAAGGAAATCAGCAGGTGGACAGGGCTTTCCCCAGTGCGATTTTACGCTTCCAGCTCCCGGAGCGATTTTCTCGAATCCGCTAGCCGTCCTGACATCGCTACCGGTCAAGTGCGAATGATTGATTTGAAACTGGAAGCGAGAAGGTCGCTTCAGAAGCAGGGGACGTGAATTCGCAATGGGGAGGACCCCGTCCACCTGCTCATTTCCCTCCTGTGTTAGGCCCCGGTCAGACTTCACGCGATTTGATCGTCGCGACTCAATCGCCGACATTTCCATTCATTTTCACTTCACATTCAAAAATTTCGGGCTGGAAAAGTATCACAACCGAAATGCAAGTTGATCGGCATGGAATGATGTTGTAACAGTTGTCTCGTCGCGACTCAGTCGCGACGATCAAATCGCGTGAAGTCTGTCCGGGGCCTTAGAGCCGTTTTTCGCCATTTTTGCGCTCTACAATTGTATTTTCGGATTCAGCGTAGCGAATAGGCCCAAGTAAGCACAAAATCTCAAAATCGAGTTTTTGCCCGGACACTGCCTTTAACGAGTCGAGTCAAAGTGAAGTTTTTAGGAATCCTGCTTTGCGACGGAACACGTATTCCACGCCGATTGCAATAGGATCTGGTGATCAGCTTTGTGATGAAAGTACTAATCCGAAAGAGGAAATCAAACGGCTGCTTGAAAGAAGCAGAGCGAGGCAACCCGTCCGAATTGCTGGTTATGAAGCCAGGTATGTTGGAATGATCATGATCCAGCGCGGTAGCACACGACGAACATTAGTATTTTATTTCCTTGTTAAGATGCCTTCTGCCCACCACACCGCAGATGACAGCATCGTTACCTCCCTTGACCAGACGATCAAGAAGTCGTCCAAGGCTGCTGCAGCGTCCGCAGATGCCCAGAAGAGGCGAACAGTCACCACTTGGCTGCAGGCCTTTTGCGTCCAGAAGCCAAAGTAGAAGTAGAATGGCAGCAGCTGATGCCTCGTCGACGCCGGTGCAAGGTAGAAAGAGGAGAAGATGTCAAAGGAACAAATTAGGTTTGTAGACACTTTCATTTTGAGTGCATGCAGCCAAACTGGTGTAAATGAAGTTCGCACATTTAGGTGGATACCCTCTTGATGTCAGGCGCCTTGTGAAAATCTATCCTTCAAGCTTATCGAGATGCCGAGTCTGTCGATTTGATAGCGCTCTCCGTCGATTGGTGACAAAAAGAAGTCCCAGGTTGGTGTCTTCGCAGCTAGTGTAGTAGATCAAAGGTAGATATGGTCTATTGTACTGCCGACGTTTGCCGACAATATCTGCGCATGAAATTTTGCCAAAGGGCACAAACTCATAAATGTGCGCTCCTGCGGCCGTCTTCCACGCGCGGATTTGCCAGCAGAAGCAGTTAGTCACGCGCAAATGTTGCCGGCAAATGTTGGCACAGCAAGGACATATTTATCGCCACATCTACTAGTCGATCAGTCAGGTTATTTATGTCTCTTTTCTAGATTCATACCAAGTGGGATTGCAAAAGTTAATGTTGTGCGGAGAATTCTGTGCATCTGCAGTCGGGATGTCATCACTGATCCAACAATAACCTCGAAAAGTGCTTCATTCATTGAACCAATCGCTGCTCAGCACATTATGCACTTGTTTGATTGCGCTGCGCTTTTTGCTCTGATTGCACTACTCCTTAGCGTCACCCTCAGACTGCTTGCTCTCTGAGCTCTTCGTTTTTCCTTTTTTCTTCCATTGACTATTGTGATGAGATATTGTTACACTGCAAGTTGGGACCTCAATTATGTGTGTGAATATTTACGGACGCGTTGCGGGCCTTTTTGTCTTTTGTTTATTTATAGAGAAGGATCTAATCACTAGTGATATCTGTGAGATTCGATAGACTGTCTAGTGTTAATGCCTACTATCTAATACGGTTTGCAACTCCTATTAGCTTGTACATACTATTGCTACGTTTTTAAAGATATCCATAGTGACCAGAAAATTAAAGTAGAATAAATCGTTCTAAAAGACGAGTAGGCATATCACAAACTATTGCCCAGTATCTCAGCTACGCAACTTGCAAATGTGGCTTTTTCCCCAAAAGTTCGGGGTTATGGGTCCCCATAAAGTTTGGGAATTTCCAATCTATTAAGTGTGTGGTATCTTCCACAAAACCCCAGATTTTAGTGAATGGCCAATGATTTCGATGAGAAAGACAAGTGTTGCATCGCCTGTCTATTGTAGAACTTACTCATGCAAAAACTATGAGACGCGATACGAAAATTGCAACTATGAAAGGTTATTTTTGGCAACCACACTTTTGTTAGAGTAGGTCTGCGATAAGATCTACACCGGAGAGGATTAGAGTTTTCCTGATATGGAGATCCTACCTCCTTATGATTGGCTTATTCACAATGAGCTATGTCAGCAGCTTTTCTTTTTGAGAAGGCAAATTTTGAAAATTTAGCGCTTTTTTTGCGTAGCGCTAGACGTTGAGTTATGAGAGGTTTTGGGGGCGATAAACGATAGCAAAATCTAGTAAAAATCAATGGTTATGGTCTTTCCATCGCTCACCTAAAAAATCGTTGAGTACATGTGTCATAGACAAGAAGTTTCTTGTGCATAGAGTGCTCTGATTCCCAACGTTGCGCCATCTGGGTACTTCAGTTGCGCGCTCAATTTTTCGAACCAAGAAACGCTCGTAACTCAGCGTCTAAAGCCGCTTGGCAGATAAAGACAATTCTGGAATCAGTGTTTGGTGCTCTTCGCATTGGTATATGTTACATGTGGAAAGCCGACTTCGACTTTGGGTCCTTCCTTTGCTGATAATTTCCGATTAAAGCTTTGAAAATTAGCGAAATTTCAGTATGTGAGAATGAACACTTGCACGGTTCGGCGATTGTCTCAGCGCTTGTCGGGAAAATCACGTCGAGAACATGGCTGCTGGAAAGAGGGAAAAGTTACCGGCTACAACTTGAACTACTCGTTGATCTTTACTCAACGAGATTAGTGGGTTGGTGCAAAAACGAAAAGATGTTTTATCGACCCAATATTAGGTTGGAAATCAAGTTTTGCAATCCAATAAATTTCTTTTCTTTGGTTATGACGCAATCGAATGTTAACATCATGTAGATTATGACGTATACAGTCGATGTCAATTACGTACTCCCTTTCACATGAGAACTAAGCATGCGCAACGCAGGGTCCTGCATGCGGACCTCCAAGTACGCGCGCGAACGTGGCACGAAGCTCACTGCATTTACGGAAAAGGGAGCACGTGACTGACACGGACTGTACACGATTCGTGACAAGCAGAGACTGGGCGCCGTTGCGTCCGTCCAACAAAGTTTGTGCAAGGGAGAGACAGCAGATGCTAAGAGAAATGAAAGCGCTCCATCAAAGAGACGCCGATAAGTCCGCAGTCTCTGCGTGCTAGGAACCTATAAGCTACAAGAGCTGTTGTCCTGCCAAATTCTGACGTTGTGAGGTTACGGTAAGTATGTGGCAAAAAGGGAAAATTATGAATTATTACAGCTTTGGTTGAAACTCGCGTACGCGGGTTAACCGACATGCTGTTCACGAAAACGTTACTGTGATTGCATGGTAGGGGCTTTCATTAATGACCACTGTTATTAGCGGGTGTAGACTCTTCGAGGGGTTTTGCCTCGGTATGCAATGAAATACTGTGAAATAGACAACAAGAATGGTGGTTCAGTGGTTTATTGGGATTACTGTAACCGAGAGCGTGAGATTGTGACCTTGGGTGGTCAACGTGTGATCAAGAGTGACGTGAGACCTCCCACTCAGACAATCGCTGGGGGCAGACGGGCACCGGAAAAATAGATTGCTGATTTCTTGCACCCCGCTCGCGGATTTTTTGGAAAGCAATCAGGACTTTTCGGAAGACCGCTTGCTGAGTCAGCGGATTTTTGAGAGACTGCCTGTTGAATTTTTTTTCGCTCTTATCTTTTTCTCTTATCTTATTGCTGAATCTCTGAGGAATCGAGAACTCAGCAAGCGGTTTTCCGAGAAGTCCTGATTGCTTTCCAAAAAATCCGCGAGCGGGGTGCGAGAGATCAGCAATCTATTTTTCCGGTGCCCGCCTGCCCCCGGCGATTGTCTGAGCAGGTGGACGCATGGCAGAGACATGGCCCGCCCACTCTGCTATGACGTCATATGGCACGGGTATCAGGAATCATCGATCGGTCGATTATACTCCGGCCAGACAAGGGGATACATACATGTAGAGAATGATAATAAATAAATACATGACTAGGTGTTCACAACTGCATCTACAGTAGTATGATGATAATCGGCTTGTTGTAGTTAGTTGTGGCGTTGAGTGAGTTGTACGGTAGTCGTTGATGGTGAACCATTGGATTGATTACGGAAAGAGGCTGGTAGTAGTAGAAGTAGACGGTGACGGTAGTGGCAGTTGTTGAGGTGCAGCTTGTTGAAGACGACGGCGATTGTAGACGAATTGTTTGACGATTTGGCGTTTTGAACGGATCCAGGCGAGAAGAAGTGCTACAGGAACCTATCACCTGATTATGACCGAAATCATAAGGCTGATAGGCACTGTAGCGCTCCGGGAGAGGAGTTTTCTGAGAAAAAACAGCACAGTAGCAAAATGTAGTGCGAAATCTCTCCTTTTTTGTTTGTTTCTTTTTTTTTGCTTACAACAGCTGAAACTGTAGGAATCCGCTCATGTTTATTGGATTTTGCTAATTTTGGCAAGCAATACGCAAGGAGCTGATACCAAGCGTAGCATCCATATGATTATGCGGATCATTAGTTTGATTATGCGGAATACTACTTTGACAACGTATACTAGCACAATGGGACCACCTAGGTAGGTCGCGATCGCGAGAATTGCTGCAGACGTGAGTGCTGCTATAGCGAGATGCCAATGGTCTCTTATGATCTTTACCAGCGGTGTGATGTCTGGCAGGGTGATGTCACTAAACCATTGGTGGTGCAAAGGCACTGCGTGGGAATCTTCCTCGAACGGCAATGGATCAGCTGATATGTGGTAATTGAGAGTACCTTGAAGAGCAATAGATACAGGTCCATGGTGGCACTGCGCAGTACATTTCTCGTTGATCACCGCCCGTTCAAGTGCTAGATTAACAGAAGTGGACTCGTTATTTGACGAACACAGTAAATTGAAATACTGAGTTTCGCACGAAATCGTCACCGTTCTCTCAAACGAGGAAAGGCAATGTGCGACGAGAGTAGCGCCATGCAAGCAGCTATAGCATCCAGTCAACTTGTTCAGACGAACTTCGCCTTCCGCTGAGAATATTTCTTCAGCTGATTCAGCTAATATTGAAGATGCAATTGACAGTGTAAATTCGCTTTCATCTGAAAGGGCTATCACGTCTTTACCCGATCGCGTTATAATGGAAACTATAGTTTCCAGCGGTAGCATTGTAGATGAGCGATTTCTAAGGGCATTGATCGAATCGTCCGGACACAGACATCGATGAACAGAGTTATCACAATGGCATCGCATAGTTGCTGTGCATGATGAGAAGTTACGTTTAGCTTGCAATTCACTGCTACTTTCCACTGGAATTTGGAATTTGTCTGGTAAGACAAATGACTCTTTTCCAGAGAGGGCGAAACGTTTGTTTAGCAGTGGCAAAGATAATTTCTGAATAGAAACGACCGTTACGTCAAAATGATTGATTTTTTCCGTAACATATGGCTGGATCAAGCGAGTGCTCATTGAGTTTTTGCCCATTTTTGTGTATTCTATGCGAATGTGCACAGTAGGTTCCACTCTATACAGGATACTACTTCAAATACCTGATCGGAAATTGGTCTATGTGCGACTCGGTAGAATTGGCATGCTGGTAGTGGGAGAAAGCATCCGCAGGGGATTCCTCCACAAATGTCAATGCAGCCGGAGTATCCTGGATATTTTTTGGACTTCCGCAATTCATCAACTGTTTCGTTTGCATGCATAGTATGACACTTGTCCTGAATGCACGATCCTGCTTGCGCACACCTTTCGACGTGGAAAATGCGAATTTTTGTATCTCTCGTGAAAGTGTGCAGGACTTTTGAACAAGTATTGTATAAGTGTATTGTGTTGGTCTCTTAGTGAGCTTCACCGTACCTATGGTCATATTTGCATGCATTATTTCGATGCATATCTCTGATGTAATCTTATTGAACAGCAACTCGTTACTGTACTCATAATGACAGCTGTCTATGTCAGTGCAGACAAGGTTTGCGGCATGTCTTGTGTAGCCTTTTTGACATGCTTGAGCGCTGAATACCAATGAGCTTGCTAGGACGCATATGGTGACTACATTGAGTCCAGGAAGAGGAGCTGGTGCGAAAGTTGGCAGCTGTACTCCATAAGTGGGGTTTTCCATTAAAGTTCTGACTTTGGCTTTATTTTGCATTCTTTTGTTCAACTTCCATATCGAGCAAGCATGGTAATGATGTAGCAAATAATGGCTACGGTAGCAATAGCACCTAATGGCCAACAATGGGGATTTCCCAGAAGAGTTTTTGAAAGAATTTTTTGATCAGCACAGAATTGTGGTCTCTCACAGGTCATTATTGATTCCTGCGCACCTTCGGCGCTTACTTTACGCACCTATGCCGTTTCATTGATTGGTGATATGGGAATCGCATACCTTACGCCGCTATAATATCGATTTTCTTGCAATCGTTATCGATGCATAGCGTGAAAGGCGCTCCTTGCGGTGCGATGTGAACCTTGCCCGCGTAACAGCTGATGCCGGATGAAGAGTTCAGAGCCATAATTGGCGATGCTAGCGACATTATGGCTAGCAAAAGAAGAGAATATGGGATTTTGGGAATATGAATAGATTGATTAGTAATCCTTTCAAGCTCTCTAATAGCATTACGAGCTTTAGTTTTTGATGCTCTTTCGGGCAGGTTTCTTACGACTTTCTCTGCATTTTGCGTAGGTTGTTGATTTTGTGGTATATCATCTCGGACTGTTGCCTCAGTTGAGCTCCGAATTCCCAGTGGGAAGATTTTGTTGATT